GGATAAACGTCAAGGTTAGGTCATTTTTCGTTGTTTTTCACACTCTTTTACCTATATTCCTGCTAAAAGTTGATGAAATGCGGCCTATTTAGCAGAAAGAGCATATGGTGGTGTTCTTATCCGGACGTAGGTCACAGGCAGTTTACAGTTTGTTGAAAATAACGTACTTTTCCGTTCAGAAAATGTCTAATTACTTGAAGACACATGTTATAACGACTTTTTGTGAATTTATTTTGCAGTTTAATGGATTACACATGGACATGATGAGGTGGGATAGCTCGTTTTGGTAATTATTTCACTTACTTTGTTGTGTACTTTGGCTAAATGCTGACAAGGCTCCTCCACATGTATTTCTTTAAGAAAAATCTGCAAAAATACATAAAAATTATATATGCATAGTATTTCCTTATTTGATGGCATAAAGTTGATGTTAGCAGGCAGATGGAATATCAACTTTGCATTATTGAAAAATGTTGACTAACATAATTATATACAGTTGAAATCATTATTTTGTCATTTTAAGCATATTTAATGGTTAATTATTGTGTTTACACTGGTAACAATATCTACATCTGTATAATTCTTATCTTCTTTTTCAGATAATATCTACTTTCGGGAATTTCATGGATTTCGGTGATAAAGAAAAAGATGCCTGCACTGTTGTCGATTTTGTATTACATGTTAATTCATTAATAAATGTATCCCTTGTTATTCGTTTGTTTATTCTACTTGATAAGACCGAATATTAGCCCTTGCGTAATTTGTGAGGTATAGAGTATATGAGGCTATCTTTGAAATACTAAGTAGGAGCAGATATTCGGAGAAGCCTATTGGTAAAACATTATGTTGTAGTCAAATAAAGTAAATATGTCTAAGTCGTAGAGGAGGTATTGCGATTATAAAGCGTTTCGAGTTATCTGTCGTCTTAGCAGAATACATATACTGATTCGCGATTCATAGTCACAAAGTAAGAGTAAATCTACCTGAGATAGTTTGCTTGTGATTTCTGCATGCCGCAGTATACCATAAGGAGAGACTATACCTATGCTGTTAGATGTATGACTCAGTGCAACTACGGTTATCGTAATAATTAAAAACAGAATGCCTAGGGTCCTCAGCCAAAGAACACGATACGTTGCTATCTGCTCATATAATCACGTAAACAAAAGTTTTCCAGACGCCGTATTTACTCCTAACAGTTTACCCTCAACTTCTAACTTAGCACGTGCTACTTATGTTACTGGAACACAATCGCATTACAACAGAAGGAAGACAGATTCATTGAAAATTGTTTATTAAACAAAAATCAGATTTCAAATGTACAGATAATTCAGATGAGTAGTCCTCTGTTACCGTCAGTAAGTTCCATCTGCGTACACGGTACATATATGTTTTTCCATAAGTCTGAAAAGGTTTAAGAAAAGCATAATTAACTTGGGTATTACATGTATGATCTGAATAAAAAATTTTCCTGATAAGCATTTACAAGTAATCACTTTACAAACAATATATATATATAAGTAGCCCAATAGTTTTCACTAAACTTAAGGGACTTCGCAACTTATCGTTTGTCGATATCTAGTAGGTCCATCGAAGCATCATGAAATGATAAAATTATTTAACGACAAAATATGCAGTAGTTTCCAAAGCTTGTACAAATATTTTAGCAAAAATGACAATACTTTATGACAAATAATAGGTCTTGACAGCAATAATAATAACATTCATGTTCATAGTGACTATAAAAACAATAATAGGTATTATTATCGCAACGAATTCATCATTAACTTAGATAGACAACTAACAATAATACAATCATATCAAATAAATGTATCACTTAATCTTAAGAAGCATGTGTTTACTTACTTTCACTGTATTCTCTCAATACTGATGTGCTCAACCAGCTTATTCCAACTGAATTCAAGATTAATTCTGAAAGTGAGTGAAGATCCAGCTTATGTCAAATAAAAACATGTAACTTACATGTATTACACTGCTTACTGAGACATCTGGTACCTGCTTTCCGATCTTCGTGACAAGAACACAGTTTATCTAGGTTTACCTACATATACATGAGTATACGTATATGCTGCATCAACCATGCCATTTTTATCATGATTAGCCAGACCACTGTCTATATTATACTTATTTAAGGATCTCTGAAAATAATGGTCAAGCGATAATTGAAGTTGCGTGAAGTTATTACCTCTTCAGGACATTGTTTGCATTCTTGATACTCCTGAGAAGTCCTTAGATAGTAATTTGGCATGAATTCGTTGAATTCAGCAAATAAATCCACTGCTATATCATTTCTTTCCTGAGCTGTAATCATTTGTGTTGTCAGTTATCTCTCCAATTTGATAAAACGCTCACGGAAATTCAGGACTTAACCAAGCAGCAAAATGATGTTTGAAATTACCTCAACTCGAATGACAAACTGGCCAATCACAAGCGAGCGAATCGCTTGTTTATCTCATTCGCGGTCACTCAAAATTACGTCCGTCGACAGGCTGGAAAATAGATACAGGCAGTTTTTTATTGGCTGTTGGCTAGCTGGCTTTTTATTGGTCTAAAATATAAATTAAAGCGCCAATCTCTTTATTTTTACACGGAAATTTACAGTCAGTAAAATTTCGGGCTTACCTTACCATAATATAATGGCGTGTTAATTTTTTTGGTGTGAGTGTAGTGTGACAGTCACACGCTATTTGGATGCATTGTTGATGTTTTAAGTATGTTGAGATGTATGAGAATGTCCAGAAAGTGAATATAAATCAACAATAATTTTGATGCATTTATTTTAAGTCCAAAATAGGATGTATGCATTTTTTATTACTAGGCGAATATAATTTAACTACAATTTCTAAACATTTAATGTGTCCTTAATTAGTACATATAGACAAATGTATGTATTAACTAATCTACTTTTTTAAGTTTTCAATTCAATGACCCGTGGGATTTGTGCATACTAGGTCAGCATAAATCAAATGGCTGAGACCGACAGTTCAAAGCATACTTTGGTTGATTGTTTCGTGATGAGAGAGATTTGGAGTCAGTTATAAATTACACCGATCTGTGTCTTATTCATACGCTTTTCACCTGAGGATTTCCGGTTCATAGCATATCCCGAATAACAATGATTAATACGATTTATCACTTAAACTGCAGCACCACCAAGCTTAAAACAATTCTAAAATTTATCCTAACCTATTACTCAATAATGCCTTTTTATGGTAACTGAAGATCATATTTACCCACTATGTTCTGAAATGAAACAGGTCGTGCTTAAAAAGACAGTTGCATGCTGAATCAAAACTTCCCACTCTGTAAGAATGCTAGTCCATGCTTAAAATGTCCTGTGAGGGCTGTAACAACGTTGTTTGACAGTGAAACTGTCACACAATGGCAAAACAGTAAGGGAGTTTACTGTTACTATTACTACCATAGTATATGTTACTGAATTAGCATAGTATAATTTGATTAGCTCAATGATTGCAGGTTTACCATAATCCTTGACTACCAACATAATAACTGGGAAATTCATGCTAAAAATAAGCTAGATAGTAGCATCCGGTGACAAAAACTGATCTACACACTGCAAAATGAGCAAAACATCCAGAAAAACCTTTAAAATTCAATGGAAAACGAATTCACGAAAACATATAACTAGCCGGCGCGGGAACTCATCATGACCTAGAAACTGACTGTAGCCTCTTTCGACAGGCTGGGGATAGGATAGAGGCACAAATCAGCTGACTGCAGCAGTTTTAAGGTGTTATCGTGATGTTGTGTTTGGGCTATTCTACGTTGTTTTTAGTGGTTTTTCCGACAGAAATGCATTTTGAAAATCGTATTTTAACGAAAAAACCTGTAGAAAGTGAGGAAAATAATCGTTTTCATTGTGTTGACGAAATGCTGTCTTTTCATCGAATTGACATCACGAGGTGCATAAGAAATGAAATAATTCTTTGGAAAATGTCAATTATGATAGAAAATGCTAAATAATTCTAATTTTTGAAGTTTATTTTACGTATATGATGAGATTGGGGTTAAATATGGAGGTAATTATGCTTTCATGATTATTACCAAATTGCACAGTAATAAAGGAAATTGAGTTGCTTACTTCGTCAGATAACGGTGTAGAGATGGTCATTTAACTAGTAGGCACTGTATTATATGTTTATTTATTAAACTCATCACATCTTGACTGAATTTTTATTTTTAATTTCCAGATTATGGTCTTTAATCCCGCAATCACTCAATACATTTAGACATTCTAATTGGGATTAAAAACTATAATATTTGTGTAAATGATGAAATATTTGTGATATTACTAATGTATTTATCGAAATAAATATTGTTTTAAAAATTCTGCTCTATTAATATCTAGTGTTTGTCGAGTTGCAAAGTAATATCAGTGTAGAAGTCATAATATTCGTAAAATGGTATATTCACACGTTGTCGAATTCGGTCACGATGGGGTACTGTTGTCGCTTTTGAGTAATTGCTTTCGCTAGTAAATCTTAAATAGACGATATGCACAACAAAGGCCTATTTAATGCGTCACAGTATTTCATGATAACGAAATAATCAACGAAGTTTAGTGACGTAGTCAACTAATGCACGAGTCTAAGTGTTGGTGTGATCATGTAAGAGCCTTTTGATACGAAATGATAACACAAGAGTAATGTAGTTTTCTCTTTATTACCTAATGATACCCTTTGAGATAGTGGTGTTAAACGCAGCATAATAATAACAGAGTATTTGTGATAAATGGGATATAAGTTGCATTGTGTACTTGAAGTGCCTAGACTAATAACACAAGTCGTGTGCATATAGAACCTACGTTTGCTGGGTTATGTTTCGTTATTACAGTACGAGCACATGTTTGACGGCTACTTTCGAAACGATCTTAAATATTAATCTTATACGCAACTGAAACACTTTACGCAAGGCTTGATGACGCATTGAGGAAGTAATAATAGTTTAAGACTGACGCATTTCACATAAGTATTAATACGTTGCCTATCATTCTCGTTAGCTCTGCAATGTCGTCCAAATGATAAGTGAAAGAGACAATGTTAGTCAACATAAATGCATATATTTGTAAGGAAACAATAATCAATAAAGTTAAAATTGACTCAGAATGAAAGAGTACATATCTACACTAAAGAGAGTTAATAGCAATCCAGTGAAAAAATCACAGTTGTAGAGTTCTTTTGTAGCTGCATCATAGTCATCATTAAGTCCACCAAACACTCTATCCACAACATTTGTATCCGTTTGCTTCCGTTGTTAGTGGTGTTGAACCAGTCTTTGCAGTTTTCGTCATCACCAGATCCGTTCGCAGAAACTAGATATGAACTTTTCAAGCAGAGATTGAGATTGTATTCCTTCGAATGCATTCAGCCATATTGAGAAAATTCTGAGGATATATACATATCAGGTAAATTAATCTTACCTCTGGTGAACAATTCCTAAACTTAGCCACACTGAATATGTGAACAAAGCAAGGAACAACCACAGAGTTGGTGAAATTCTATAGATTAGTCGTCCATATATTCCACGATATATTTCAGGAATTGTGTAACTTCCAAACCACCTGTCACATTTTCTCTTCCATAAAAAGCAAATATTATACACGTGACTCTTATCCATCCGTTGCAATTAACTGAAAGATAAAATCTTCAAACTTTATACTTCTTTGATTAAGTTGCCCAGTAATATTCTCCTTGTAAGTGGATCTAATGCTTCTCACATCTGTGAAATTTATAAGCATGTTAACTTGGTCCCTTAAGCTAGAAAATATAATGTCTATCCGCTTTTATTATTGCTATTTCAAAGCCCGCTTCGGTAACGTAAGGCACGTATTAGCCGCAACGTTTACGCCAAGGAAAATCTACCAATCACAGCGTGCATAAGTGACCTTGAAGTGCTCAGCCTCTCCATAAGCCATTTGTGCCGCTATCCTATCTCGACAGGCTGCCATTTGGAGATGACAAGTTACTTTAATTTGCTACCCTCCGAAATATCTGGATTGGTTATCGGTATGTAAATATCTGCGTGAATATTTTGCAGGCTTTTTAAGAGACAGTGAATGTATCGGTGCAGCAGAAGCTTTTTTTCAAGAATGTCCTCATCTATCGGAATTTCGTGCTCATTATTCATCAGTGAATGAGATACCAACATTTTTCAGAGAGCTCACGCTATTAGATATTCTGCGAGATTATGTAAATATTGTGAACGGGGGTGAGTGGTTGATTTTAATCTCGGGAATCTGTTATGCACATATATGTATTGCACAATAATGTATACCCCTGATGTCTTCAGGTCTCTCTCTGGAAGTGCTAACTAACCGTCAAAGCTTTGAATTAATTTGAGATCTTCCTGTTGATTGCTGGTATCCACTGGGTTTGAGCCTCGGTGGGAACATCATCACTCACTGAGAAATGCAGGTACATCCAGCTGACGAGTCCAAAATAGGACGAAATGCGCATCCTGGATTCCACTGGTAGTCACCATCCACCAATTGAATGCTAAACGTCAAAGACCCTATGGATTAGTGCTAGGTTTTGGTTTGGCCACGCTTGTTTTCTATCTAGTGTCATTAGTCGATGAAGGTAGTCGTTTTGGTCTTGCAAGATTTGCATTCACTTATAACCGAATCCTCCGATGTTATTTTTTCAAAGTGTATATGCCCCACAAAATTTAACAGTAATAATTTGAAATTCAGTGAAGTGATTACTCTTTAATATTCCAAAGTTTATTTTCGCTGATATTTCCTCAGGTACTCTTTAAAACCTCTATAGTATGTGTAGTATCAAGCTTTTCTCTTTTGAAACAAGTATTAACTGATTTCGACACTGATCATCTGATTTGAGTGAGAAGACTATTATAAACCAGGTAGTACTGGGCGGGTGTTTCGTCCATGTATGTATGCGCCCAGTACTCAGGCTATAAGGCTCACCTGTATACTATTGAACCACTGAGAATCTACCAGCCCATCCAACATCTGATTCGCGATATACAGTGTGACCACCAACCAATGTTACCAATAAGTATTTATGCTCATATCCAACTTGACTGACCCCATTGGTCACAGCCTCTCACTAGAAATTCAAATAACTTCATCCTATAGACAGTCACTTATGAACGCTATCAGGTTTTCAGTGGCTGTGTGAATAAGGTCAGTTCGTTGGCATCTTGAAGTCAATTAAATCATTGCAGACCAACGGCTGAAAAGCTTGTAAACTGACTATGTGAAGTGTAGCCTGTTAGTTAATACACCTGAAAAGTATAGTGATGCCAAATTATTTTAATTCAAGTGGTTTTGGTTACTTTTACACATAAAACCTAATTCAGGTACAATTATGTAATCAGTCTAACGAATTGTGAAACCGGTGTTTAAAGGTCTAGGCATTTACACTCGATTATGGTATCAAGCACCCAAAAACCTATTCTTGTCTAGGCAAACTAGTGATGCAGTTTGGGGGAACATCGTAAAGTTTGATCCACACATCATTACTAATGTAACTGGAGTTTTAACATAATAAAACTATCCTATTTCTGTTGGAGTGAATGGGTTTTAAGCCGAATCACTGAGCCTGTTGTTCTCCGTACTGTTGTACCTTCTTGACAAGAATGTCGACTTCAATCTGGACATTATTCTTTCTAGTAATCCTTCACAAGAAGTGGTGAGATGGATATATTTCTTATAAATGTTTTTTCCTTACTAGAAAATTTCTTCTAGCTTATCTAGTATTCAGAATGTTTAGTTAATTCCATTCATTTTGTGTTTGATTCATTGTTTTGTAGGTTTGGTTTTCTTGATTGTTGATTATCTCTTCTTAGTGTAGCATATGTGTGCATTTTAAATGCGTGAGGGGGGGGGGTTAAGCCTCCGAAATAGTCTTTATTGATAAACGTTTAAATTCTCAGCATGGATCCAAAAAGCTCGAGCTGCTTTCGCTGACTTACACCATCTCTGGTGTAGGCGTGACATCCGGTTATCAACCAAGGGACGTGTGTACTGCTCAGCAGTTCGCTCCGTCCTTGTCTATGGCTCTGAAACATGGCCAATACGCGTTGAAGACATGAAAAGGTTGACTGCTTTCGATCATAGATGTCTGCGATCTCTGTCTCACGTTAGGTGGTTTCACAAGATAAGTAATGTTGACGTTAGGCGTAGAGTGTTGGGCAAAGAGGGAAAATCAATCGACGAGGCTATAAAGTTACATAGACTAAGATGGCTAGGTCACGTGCTGCGCATGCCTAACCACCGCCTCCCTCGACGGGCATTGCTAGCTGATATAGGTTCAGGTTGGAAAAGAGCCAGTGGTGACCAAACAAAAACATGGCATCAGTCCATGAAATCCTTGACAGTTAAACTGAGTCAGGTAGGGAGATGCAGACTCCCGGGTTGGGGCCCTCGGGACCCTAGGAATCAATGGCTGGAGACAATAGGTGACATGGCTCAAAATCGTTGTCAATGGCGCAGATGTATTCAGTCTCTGTAATCTTCCATATTCCCTTCTACCATTACCCATTCTGTTTCACTCTTATACTTGTCAGACTGTATTGATTCTCTTCACTCATCTTCTTGTCTACCTCTGTGTGCTATTTGGAACGTGGCAACTCGAACTGCTGCACTTCGGTGCCAAGTTCTATGTGGAATCCAGCAGACAGAAACATTTAAATTGCTGCTTTTTTATTATCATTCTGGGTGAACTCTTGTCCCTTCTACTTGGTAGTTTTCTGCTTCGTTTTTGTATTTTTTTTAAAAGTTGGTCCTTAGTTTGGTTTAGCTTTTGTCTTGTTTTGTATTGAAATTACCAGTTGAGCTTCCTCATCTAAAGATTAGTCTGCTAGTTATCCACCTTTTTTGTTGTTTCAGTTGTTCCTCATTTAAAAAAGATCAACTTACCATGTCACCTTGGTAAACTAGCTGATTCTGTAACTAAAATTTTACGTAATTTTGTCCGACAAAAAGTATCTTATCAATCTGGACATCCTGAATGGATGCCAGTTGGAAGGGTTTATGTCCAACCGCGTATTGAATCCACCAGTTCAACTTTATCAGATATTCAACCTCAAACTACTGCTAGTCCTACTACAAATTCGGCAACAACACCATCACTGCTCGATAAAATAAGTGAGTACACTGTATTTTTTAAACCTGTTTTTCATGTAAAAGCTGATGTTTTTGAAGAAGAAATCTGTTAAACATAAGCTGATGAAGTTAGTGTAACAGCCACTCCCGTACAAATCTTCAACGACCAATTAGAGTAACAGGTAGTATAACTAATCCAATGTATGCTTCCTGTGACATTTTTCCCTAATGAGGGGTTCAGAGAGACCTAGTGTTTGTGATTATTGTGTGAATAATGGATTAATTAGTTAACCAGTTTTTTCGGGGTATGTGGTGTTGGAATATGGTAAAGAACAGAATCGCAATTACAAACGAATATTTGAATACCATTAGTCTGTAGTCATCATTACGACAATTTCACAACTTCTTTCGTAATCCCCTTAGGTTTCGGGCGGAACATTAGAAATATACCCACAAATTATTAAACAATATATTTAAAGACGTTGAATTCACAAGAGAAAAAACATAACAAAATTCCGTTCTTAGATGTCTCAGTCAAGAGAAATAAATAACACAAAGAATTTAGAAGTATACAGAAAATCAACGCACAGAGACCAAATACTCAACTATAATGGTAATAACCCGATTACCCACAAAAGAAACTGTGTGCAGACATTGTTTAAGAGAATTCAAACACATTGTAGCACTCCCGTGTTGAAGAGGATTGAGGGAAAACACCTACTAACCGTGAATTGAATTTTTTATTTTCCTGTCGATTGATGCGCATCCTGGATTCCACTGCTAGCCACCATCCACCAATTGTATACCTACTAACCGTCTTCAAAACGAATGGATATCCTGACTATTTCAACACAATGTCTTCAAACTCCAGTCATAACCCCATCAACAAGCCAAAATCGAAGACTACAAGAAAATCCACTCCACCACCACCATATATAAAGAATACCGCTGAAAGAACACCTCGAATACTAAGACCGATTGAAATAGATTTAGCACACAAGCCAGCCGGTCAGCCAGAACAACCACTTCATTTGATGTTGTGCAAACTGAAAGATCCAGCAGTAAAGGAAGATAAAATTAATACCATTTTCAAAATAAGCTGTATGAACTGCAATAAACATTACATAGGTTAGAGTGGGCGTCCTCTTTCAGTCTGAATTCAAGAGCGTAAATTAGCTGTGAAAAGACACGATATTTACTCCTTCACATCGATGCATGTAGACAGTTACGAAGACGAATTTGATTGGGATAATGTAGAGATTGTAAATAGAGGAGACACCAATAATGCAGTCAGGGAATTTCCAGAAGCCTGGTATTCAAGTGAATCAGCCAGCGATTAACTAACACATTATTATAGACCAAATTTACCAGCTGATAAAAAGTAAATCACCACATGACAAGAGAGTTCGAATTCCAAATAAAAAAAATCAAAAAAAAAGTTAACAATCAGTCATGACAGTAGTTGCCAGCAGATACAATTACATCATCACGTAATGATTTAGGAATCGACTTGTTACCAGGGAATAGTCTTATGGACTTAGAATATGCAGATGACATAGTCCTGTTAGAGGAGGATGATGACAAAATGCAGTCTTCTGAACACCTTGAGCAGCAATCTTCGTATGTTTGGCATGCGATTCGCCCCTGTAAAATGTAAGATGCTGCTACAGGACTGGACCACGTCAACTCCTAACTTAGTGATAGGGAGTGAAGTGATAAAACATGTTGACCACTTCACCTATTTGGGAAGTCGTATTAGCACCAACGGACTGATTGGCGATGAAATCTCAGCACGGATCCAAAAAGCTCGAGCTGCTTTCGCTGACTTACACCATCTCTGGCGTAGGCGTGACATCCGGTTATCAACCAAGGGACGTGTGTACTGCTCAGCAGTTCGCTCCGTCCTTGTCTATGGCTCTGAAACATGGCCAATACGCGTTGAAGACATGAAAAGGTTGACTGCTTTCGATCATAGATGTCTGCGATCTCTGTCTCACGTTAGGTGGTTTCACAAGATAAGTAATGTTGACGTTAGGCGTAGAGTGTTGGGCAAAGAGGGAAAATCAATCGACGAGGCTATAAAGTTACATAGACTAAGATGGCTAGGTCACGTGCTGCGCATGCCTAACCACCGCCTCCCTCGACGGGCATTGCTAGCTGATATAGGTTCAGGTTGGAAAAGAGCCAGTGGTGACCAAACAAAAACATGGCATCAGTCCATGAAATCCTTGACAGTTAAACTGAGTCAGGTAGGGAGATGCAGACTCCCGGGTTGGGGCCCTCGGGACCCTAGGAATCAATGGCTGGAGACAATAGGTGACATGGCTCAAAATCGTTGTCAATGGCGCAGATGTATTCAGTCTCTGTAATCTTCCATATTCCCTTCTACCATTACCCATTCTGTTTCACTCTTATACTTGTCAGACTGTATTGATTCTCTTCACTCATCTTCTTGTCTACCTCTGTGTGCTATTTGGAACGTGGCAACTCGAACTGCTGCACTTCGGTGCCAAGTTCTATGTGGAATCCATCCAGACAGACATTCATGGAGAGTTTGAATTAGTTCACTTTATGGTGAAATCTTCACTGAATATGACATCCAGAAGGACGACGAAAGCTTTGTCATTAAATAAGCCAGATCAGAGAACACAACCAAGTCAACATCTTATTTTATCCTGCACTCTGCAGTCCTCTTTACCTGGCCCCACGATTGCCATGAACTTTCTTCTCCTCGTCAAATGATCTCCATGTCACCGTGGGACATCAAACTCGCTGTTTCCCATTCGGGTTCCACTCGACGGTTTGCCTGAAGCGCGATTTCACTCAACGGTCTTCACAGAATGTGTCCGTTTCATCTCCATTTCCTTTGGCATGTTTGTTGAGCGAAAGGTTCTTGGTTGGTTCGTTAGTTCCGAGAGTTCCTTTTTGGCTATCTAATCTTCAGTATGAAGCGAAGACTGCTGTTTATGAAAGTCTACGATGATCTGTTGGAAATGCTTTTAGTGACTCCCACAAAGCCTCTGAACAATATAAAACCACTGACGAATTTGAAATTAGTTTTGAAAATCTCTGTCTTGACCTTTATACTGATAACAGAAGATTTCCACACTGATTTCCGATTAATGAATGTCTGTTTTGCTTTTCCGATACTGGCTGGTTTCGGTATCCTCATCCGTGCTACCTGTGGTTGAGAAAAGGCTGCCCATATAAGTAAAAGAAGTAACTACCTTCACATTTCTTCTCTTGATGGTGATTGGTACTTGTTGTTGTTGATTAGGTATTGTAGTTACCTCTTTCTTTCCTGTCTTCTCTGCCATTTCTCTTGTCAACTTGTTGGTTTTCCTCTGTAGGTCTTCGAGTTTTTCTGACATTAGACATAAATCATCCGCTCCTGAATTTTGACTAGTTGTTCAAAGTGAGTAACAAAGTCGGTCAGGGGGGTAGCTGCCATAGTTTGACTTCGCCCAGTAGACTAGATAACAATAATTAATCTGTTAGAAAGTGTTTATGAACTTTTCTACTGTCTAAAAGCGAAACCATGTTTTGAGTTGCACTGTGAAGACTCAACCTTGACGTTAGTTGTCAGACATGCACATTGCAGTGGTCCAACCAACTGTACTGGCTAAAGTGAATGCCTGTGGAAGTCGCACTATATTAGAATGGTCACCTGGATAGCGATTAAACTAAAAGCAGTTATTGCTGTATTGCAACTGGGTTACACCACGTTGGCTGTCTGAGGGAGAAGTCATACTACTGGCGAATGTTAGTGTAACAACATTAAGATGTTTTCTTCAGACAGCCAGCAAGGCAGATATTCCATCTCTCTGCTCTAGAGAGGCAGGTGGATTTAAAAAGGTCGAGTCCCAAGACTGTGCTTTCCAACTTACCCTGCAACAGTCTGTAACTTGCAGTAGGTTTTCCATATGGACACCGCTCTAGACGGGCTGTAGATGGTCGGTCTGAAACAGTTGTCCTCCGGTCTCTGTGGTCATGCAACACAAACTATTTTCTCTTTCAATTTATCTTGTCATTTTTGGTATACGCGTTTGTCCCTGTTACCATTGGCGAGATAATTTTACATAGTCTGGAGTAAGCATATCAAGTTTTTTAAAATTATTGTAATGTACCTGTTGGCTTATTATTTCTTGTTACGCATGCTGAGTCACTGCGTTCCTTGTTGAGCGAGTGAGGTTAGCACTAGGTTGGTAAAGGATTATGGGTAGTCAAGTCAGAATATGATAGTTGAAAATTTTTTACATTGAAACCGGCCAGCCATATGATATCGGTCCATATGGTGGTCTTTGGCTATCACTTTCGACTATACTACATTTTGTCTGCATAGGTCCTCAAGAATGATGCTAAGAACGAATAGCTTGAGAGTTTTAGTGACATAGTTCAAAGTCATCCTTCATTCTGTGTTAACTCCGTGAAATCCTGGTATCTCTCCACATAATTATTTCTTCTCCCGTACATTTTTGGCCATTATACAGTTCATTTTTAATTTTTTTTCTTTCCCACGTCTCTTTATGATCCTTCTGTTTTTTGTTCATCAAATTCTCCTGTAATATCAACTTGTATTAGCTTCATCAAACTGTATTGGTCATCAGGCACAAAGTGTGTCTGAATCATCACAGGACGAGCAGACAACAGTGAAGAAGACTCTATCGATCACTAATCCCCCTTCATCATCATTTTCAGTCTCTTCTATTGCTTCTGTACAAATACCTACATCATCTACTGGACAGGCTACTGTCAATTATACAGGTATTTCACCATCCAAAACTAACGAAATCATGCGTGAGAATTATTCATCACAAATATGTTTACTCCAGTCAGGTGATGAAGTTAACAATCTTTCAAAGCTTTCTGACGATAATAACAATGATTCTATATTTTATGTCTATCCACATCTGCCACGATCACTAAGTGACGGTGACAATAAAAATGTCAACAATAAATGCGTTTCTACTAAACGAAAACGGTAATATATTTTTTAGCTTCCTGTCTATTATTTTTGTAAACTGGTTTGTTTATTAATTTTCATATTGAAGTGGAGTTGGTTTGTAAATGAATTTGATTGATTTCAAGTTAAATAATCACCAACTGGCACGTCAGTCAGATTTATTTATTATTGTTCCCTTGGGCTCCGATTGGAATCTATCTCCACTTTGTCCTTCCCTCTGCAGTCTTCTTTAGATATCCCACGATTGCCCGTTGTCCCACTTGATCCCCGCATGATCTCCTCCACGTAACTCTCGGGCCCACGCCCAACTCGTCATTTACCATCCGGGTTTCACTCGAGGAATTGTGCGGCGCGCTATATCATTCGACAGTCTCCTCAGTATGTGTCTAATCTATCTCAATTTTATTCGGAATATTTTTCGAGCCATCGGTTTTTGGTTGGTGTGTTCCCAGAGTTCCTTGTTGATAATTCCCTCTGGCTGGACATCTGATCTTCAATATGGAACCAGCGAAGGCAGCTGTTGATAAAAGTCTGCACTACCCTGTTGAAAATTTTTATTTTTTTATTATTTTTGATTACAGCTTGATTCCACACTGTATTTTTGGTACAAGTATGGAATTTTCAGCGTGGATATCGGTAGCCCAAATTTTGCAGGCCGACCATAGATATCAGGTGTGCGTCGGCGAGGGCTTACGTGATGGGTTGGTCAATTTTCTGACTCATATAGAAGAACTGACTGATTTATGCTGAGTGCCTGAGTTCCGAAGATTTCCAGACTGATTTCAGATTTTGACATCTTCATCTGTGGTGTCCGCTTGTAGTTGAAATGATGGCGGCCCTCTATATAAGTGAATGAAGCAACCTCTTTGAAATCTCTCCGATTGATAATGATTGGTGGTTATTGTTGTTGTTTGGTTATTTCCATCACTTAGATTTTCTCTCTGTTCACATGAAATTGTGTCTATGCTGACAGCCTCTTCTGCGAGTTTGTTGGTTTTCGCTTGTAAGTGTTCGAGTTCGTGTGACATTAGACACAAATTGTCCGCGAAATCCAGGTCTTTTGGAGTCTTCTTATCGGTTTAACATATTCCTGTCTTGTCCCCCCGCCCCCACAATCTGGTGCATAATCCAGGTCATCACAACTAGAAATACCATCTGTGATAGTGAGTTGCCTTGTCTTACTCCTATCCATACTTCGATGGCTTGGCTGAGTTTTCCGTTGTAGATTACCTGACACATGGCACTATTAAATAGCTTTTGAATAAGGTTTACGAGGATTCGGAGCACTGCATGCCGTAGCATTGAAGTGGTTTCCAAATTACTTCGTGGTCAGTGCTGTCAACGGCCTTTTCAGAGTCGATGGAATTGATGTAGAGGTTTTACTGGTAATTTTTACTTCGTTCGATGATGATTCATATAGTTGCTATTAGATTCGAGCATGATTTGCTTTTCCAGCTTGTTCCGGTCGGAGCTCTTCATCTAATGCCTTACTGTTTATTTTGTATATGATTACTTTGCGTTCCAAGTGGAACATAGGACATCAAGCTTTGAGCATTGAAGTTTCAGTAGTATTAATGTTTCTTTTTACAGCGTGGGATTGCTTTCTTTCTTTACCAGGCTTCCTAGTAGATAAACGAGGCTTAGGAATGCGTCGATTGGGGATCGAACTCCGTACCAGGTGCATAGTTGGTGAGTGGCGGGGAATGTTATTCACAAAGGTGGGAGAGCTAATGTGAACGTCTGATGCTCAAAAATGAATTGGTGGACATGCAGATCTCCTTAGAAAAGCTCGAAAACCACGATTTAAAACCTATGATGGTGAACACGGGCTCCAGAGTTTGATTTGATCGAATAGCATATGAAACTGTTTTGATTACCAATAGCTACAGAAAGGCAGTTTCTCAGACTACTTCATCCCCATTGTAGATCACTTCAAGTCAAAAGCTCTGGGGAACTGTTACTTAAGGCAACTAGCTGGTTTGGTTCAGGCGCCTGGGTAATATCCCATTTGTCGCACAAACTATGAGATTGTGTTGCACATCTCCCGGCATCAAGCTTGTGTTTGTTTTTTGATAATTAATAATAACAGGCGATGCAATTGTACTATTCATAGAAAATTCAAATAAGTTCACTTCATATTGAATTTTCGAGCTGAAGATGTTGTCTAGAAAAAGGACAATCTAAGCTTCGCAATTACACCACCCGGTTAGCTCAAAGAGCACAACCATGTCAAAATTATCCATCTGAATTATAAACATTTCCCACGAACTACTGTTCTCCCTTGGAATTCAGAAGTTCAGACATACTCAATTTGTAAGTAAGAAAGCAGGCCACGCACTTTACTGTGAATAATTTCAGTAACCAATTGTATTCTAAAATGACACTTTACCTTTTGACCGTACATAATCGATTGAATGCAAATAGAGAAAAAAGTAAAAATGCGTTTAATTCCAAGTGGAATCAAATTTCAGTGAGATTTGCTCATTTCTGTCTTACTAACTGTGATTATAGGTAAAACTTGTTTGTATAAAGTCTCACAGTGTTATACAGTAATGTTTACTGATATCAATGTTACTAACTCTGACCCAACCTCCCTTCAAAAAGGCCTACCTTTGACACTAAATCCTATTGTAACTTTCTTTGCTGTTACTTTTCTTGTTTCTTTCTTAATTCTTGAGTGTAGAAGTCAACCACCACGTCACTTGTCATCATCACCTTCAGCTGGGAGTACAACAAAGAGTGGCTTGGTTACTAATTGTGAAGAAGATGAAGAATTAGATATGGAGGTAAGTTTTTTAAATGATCGTATTATTGATTATTTTTATTACTGAAAACATAAGCTTGGTTTATTATAGGCACCAAGAGATGCACCACGCAAAATCTCACACTTCGTGTGAGGGCTTGGATACTGCTCGGGCAACCAGATTGAAGCAGAAAGTTGCCACTCCTAGAGCCTTTGACTTAAAGTTTGATCTGCAAACCAGCGGAGGAGAATCAGGAGCTGTGTTCCCATGGCTATTGGTAACTAAAACGAGTTCATATGACATTCGATCCAATCGGATCCTGGAGCCCATGTAAACCAGAGGTTTAGAATCTCAGGGTTTCCCAGCTCTTCTAGGTCAACCTGCATGCCCATCAGTCCTGTTGTAAGCGCCAGACGTGAAGGCGGGGAATAGGACTTACCTGACAGAGGCTAGGAATGCATGGTTACATTTGAGCATTTCGAGAGGAAGTCCGGAGCGTACCTACCTTTGTCCATAACATATCGATATAAAGTGGAAGTAGTAGCATTTTTATTTTGATTACCATCCCAAAAAGCTTTCAGGTATGTGTATCAAGTTTCTGTGTACATAGGTGCCTGTTTGACACTGGATAGTTCGAATTGGGATGCTATACTTATTCTGAAAATTTATGCTAAATATCTTAAAGTAATTGCTGTTTCTAGCGGGAGGAATTCTAACCTGATGTTCGGCTCGAAATAGTGTACCATTTTTCTTATTTCTTCTTCTAACCTACTTTAGGGGTAGGGTAAGGCTTTCGTTTGTTATTATTCGCACCTTTATGGTATGTATAAGTTATACTCTGATTACTCTAATCAATACTGGTTAGTGTTCCAAAAACTACATAAAAAGATACACAAGACATGCCTATCTGACTGGTGAAACGAGTAGAACTTTATACAGTGGTGATTCAGTGTAGAAATGACCACACATAAGATTAGTAAAAAAGAATTAGCGTAAAGGTAAAATGGACAAAAAAAAAACGCGCTCGTGAACACTATCCGGTCTGGTTAGTAAAAGGAGACCAAAAGCGTGTATACAGTTCAGTGACAGAACATCTGGTCAATTCAGGCCATTCAGCGCCTTTCGAAAAATCCTTCAAAGTAATATACAAGATTCAACCAAACCTATCAAAGGTAGTGAAATCAAGACATCTGGGCATAGCCGAGGCACTAGCTATCCAAAAGCTCAAACCCATGCTTTGTATCCAAAAGAAATACGTCCAAGCCCTGTCCCTGCCATGGCCACCATAAACAGGTAATTTTTTAGTAATGATCATCCTATCCCCTTTCTTATCTAAACTTCCTGTTTATTCGTGTTATTTTAAGTTTTTCTTAATCCCTGTTTACACTACCATATTTTCATACCCTAACTTCGTGTTAATTTTGTCATTTTACTATTTCTACATATTTAATACCTGATTGCATAAACAATTATTCATCACATTAGTTTTTATCCAAACATCCTGTCTATTTTGTTATTTCTACATTTCTAACCCCTAATTGCACAATGTCGATCTTCTTAGTTATTATGATGCTACTTTGTTTGTTTTATCCATCCCCCTGTTTATTATGGCATTCTAATTCCTAATTTTAATTAATTCGACCATTAACCGGAAATTATTCTGGAACTTTCCCATCCATTTGATGTAAATACACGAATGTACAGCCTAGATGATGACTTCGTCTAAAAGAAAATTTTCTTCTCTGCAACTGTCTTCTTAATAACTCCCATGACCCAATGTGAACTCTTCTCAGACTTCTGCGCCTTCAATGATTTGGTGATTGGTGGTAGTGTGTTCAAACACAAGGATATACACAAGACGACATGGATTTCACCAGATGGAAACACCAAGAACCAAATAGACTTCATCTCAATTTCAAGAAAGTGGAGACGGAGCCTACTGGACACAAGGTCAAGGAGAGGAGCAGATGTGGGTTCAGACCACTATCTAGTAGAAGGGACTTTCAAGGTGAAACTAAAAGCCTCGAGGATAGCTGGGGATAGGCCACAATGCAAGTTCAACACTCAATTACTGAAGGACACAACCACAAAAGACACCTTCACTGCAACTGTCAGAGCAAAGCAGGAAACACTACGCGACAGCACTGAAGAATCATGCGTGGAAGAACATTGGAAGTCTCTGAAGGCGATTCTCAACGAAACGTGTTCAACGGTTCTAGGAAGAAAGAAGAAACAAGACAAGGAATGGCTCTCAACGGACACTTGGAAATTAATAGAAGAGAGGAGAATGGTGAAAGAGAAAATGATTCAATGCAAGGACGGACAGGAGAAGGAGACGATGAGCTCAACTTACAAAGCATTGGACAAAGAAGTGAAGAAAAGTGCTAGGAAGGACAAAAGACGATTCTACGACAATCTAGCTACTGAAGCTGAAAAGGCAGCAGGCAAAAGGGACCTGAGGACACTATATCAGATAACCAAATCTTCTGGAAGAGATCAACACAAGCGAAACCTATAAAAGACAGCCAAGGGAACCCAATTACCAAGGAAGAAAAACAGATTAAACAATGGGCGGATCACTTCAAAGGACTCTTGAACCGACCATCACCTGCAACCCGTCCAGAAATACCAACAACAGCGCACACACAACTGCAAGTTGACACCAATCCTCCAACGAGAGCTGAAGTCTTGAATGCAATCAAACTTCTGAAAGCTGGAAAAACAGCCGGACCAGATGGAATACCCCCTGAAGCACTGAAAGCAGACCCAGAGACGACAGCAGACATGCTGACTCCATTATTGCAAAAGGTCTGGAAGGAGGGAAAGGTGCCTACTGACTGGAGGAAAGGTTACCTCGTGAAACTACCAAAGAAGGGCGACTTACGCTCACTCTGCAAGAACTGGCGAGGAATCATGCTCCTATCGACGCCAAGTAAAATCCTGAGTCGCATCATCCTGGAGAGATTAAAGGACGCACTGGAGACAGAACTCCGACCAGAACAAGCTGGATTCAGGAAAGGCAAATCATGTACTGACCAAATTGCAACTCTACGCATCATCATCACAGAACAAAGCATGGAATGGCAATCAAACCTCTACCTCAACTTTATAGACTTTGAGAAGGCCTTCGACAGCGTTGATCGTGAAGTAATTTGGAAATTACTCGAGTACTATGGCGTACCCCAAATATTCATCAACCTTATTCAACAGCTGTACGACAACGGCACCTGCCAAGTGATCCACAACGGAAGACTCAGCGAGGCGTTTGGAGTAAACACAGGAGTCAGACAAGGGTGCTTACTATCACCAATGATATTCCTAATTGTGGTGGACTGGATTATGCGTCAGACAGTGGGAAACGAGAAGACAGGAATATCCTGGACCGACGTGAAGAACCTAGAAGACCTGGATTTCGCGGATGACTTATGTTTGATGTCACACACAATCGAAGACTTACAAGCGAAAACCGACAAACTGGTCGAAGAAGCAGCAAAGACAGGACTCCAGGTAAACATAGACAAGACGGAGGTTATGAAAATAACCAACCAACAACAGCAACAACATCCAACGTCAATCACCATCAACGGGAGGGATTTGAAAGAGGTTACTTCATTCACTTATCTAGGGAGCATTGTCTCAACTACAGGAGGAGCGGACGAGGATGTCAAATCGAGAATCGGGAAGGCGAGAAACACATTCATCAGCCTGAAATCAATCTGGAAATCTTCGTCACTCAGCATCACCAACAAAATTCGGATTTTCAATACAAACGTAAAGTCAGTTCTTCTATACGGATCAGAAACTTGGCGGGCGGGTCACAAAGAATATTTCCAAAAGGTTGCAGACCTTTATTAACAACTGTCTTCGCTCAATACTGAAGATCAGATGGCCGGAAAGAATCACCAACAAGGAATTATGGGAACAAACAAAGCAAGAACCAATCGCCCAACAAATATGCAGGAGAAAGTGGAGATGGATCGGACACTCGCTGAGGAGACCGCTGGGTGACATCGCGCGCCAAGCCCTCGAGTGGAACCCGAAAGGGAAGCGGCGTGTGGGACGTCCAAGGGTGACATGGAGGAGATCGTGTGAAGAGGAGTTGAAAGAATATGGATTAACATGGATGCAGGCGAAAAGTATAGCAGAAGACAGAAGCAAGTGGAGACGTGCAGTTGAAGCCCTATGTTCCACTAGGAATCCAAGGGAACAATAATAATAATGACCCAATGTGAACGTTCGATTTCCAAGTGTTCATTTGCAGGGATTTGATTAATTTTGAAGTCTGATTACAAAATGACTTCAGTTCGAGAGACATTGAAAACCAGGAAGTACTCGACACATGTTATCCTTTAATTTGAGACTCTTCAGCAACATTCACATATGACTTTACTTTAGGGATCGAAACCCAGCACCTTCAGATTACGAGGCAAGCTTCTGGGACAGATAACAGTGGTTGGCATTTTCTCTTTATACCGCAAACTAGCAGAGATTAGATTTCATTGACAATTGAATTCCGTCCCAGTGTCTGGATGGTCAATGAGCTGTTCTCGTAACCTAGATCTCCTGGGTTCCATCTTTAGTGGTGGGGTCGCGGGTGCACTCTGTTGAAGAGTTTGGAGCTAGGATGAAACATCTGTTTAGCACTACTTTGTGGTTTTCTTCAACGGTTCACTAACTAAAGTCAGTTCGTTGTCAAACCTGCAAAAATGTTAAGGGTTAGTAATAATAAAATTCAGATTTTAAAAATCTGTGGTTTGATAAAAAGCAGATACGTCTGCGTAGTGGTGACCAATTTTAGTCTGTGTTGCAAAAAGTTCCCAGTTAAGTAGTCTACATTTCTCTACATGGCTCTGACCAACAATCAATGGCTTCATGGATTGGTGTCATAATTTCATCTGCCCACTTGCAGTTTTTTTTTCCAAGTTAGTCTTATTCCTGCTAACATTTCTCATGGGAAAATTCGGTGGTGTAACCACCTCAGTCGGTGAAGCTTCATAACCTCATTAGTTGACTTCTCCACTATACCTCACAATCTACTGTTAATCTCGATATTATTCGCCAAATTATACCATCTGTTATGGAAGATAGAACACAGACACCTATGATCATTGACAGCTAGTCTTCTCCTTCCTCCACCTTCAGTAGCCATGTCTCACAGCCATAAAGGAGGACAGAGCGAACTGCTGCACAGTACACGCTTCTTTTGATGGATAGCCGGATGTCACGTCTGCTTGAGAGATAACGTAGTTTGGCAAATACCACATGAGCTCCTTGTCTCCGTGCTGAGATTTCGTCAATAATCAGTGCATTAAAGCTGGTGCACCTTCTCAAGGGGTCAAAAAGTCCTACCACTTCACTTAATATCTTTAAAATAGTTGGTGGAGTCCTTCTGCGTTAATTTTACATTTGACAGGAGCGGAGTGCAAGTGATTATGAAGTGAGAGACAATGATGATGATTTGTCATAGTAGATAGATTCATCCAATGCAAGGAAGGAAAACTTACAAGCTAGTTGAAGGTTGTAAAAGGTGTTAAGTGAGTGGCTATTACAAAGTAGTATACAATAAAGAGGAGATAGTAAGACTGAATTGATAGGTTCATCATGAAATGACCAATATGTGAAATGAAACAGGTAGAAGGGCATATATTGAGAAAAGAGATAATATCACTAATAATAAGTCCGGATAGTATAAATGGAAAATTCAGTAGTATTTTTGAAAAACTGCTAGAATAAAGGGTATAAATTATAATGAATCATTATAGTGAGAAAAATTATAAACAAAGCGAAAGAAGGAAGGAGTAAGAGCGAGAGGTACTCTTAGAGAGGAGAATGAATTTTAATCTAACTTTGGCCGTGGTATAAAACAGTTTCATACAGTGATTCCATTTTATAAATTTGAACAAAGAAAGAAGAAATATTGGCGCAGAATAATCTAGATCCATTTTATTTCGTCGGTTCTCATCATCTGCGTGCAACCTGAATTCTTTAATATCAGGTGTGCGTCGGTGTGGGCTCGAACCCCGGACCATGTGCATGGTCGCCGAGAGTCCTAACCACTGTGCCACCGACGCAAAGATTAGATAAGAGAAGATCAAAATTTTGGTGCACATGAGGTCAGATGAGAAGTTGATGATGTAATACAGTGAGCAGAACTCAGAAGATCAAGAAAAATTATATCTTAAGAGAGTCAAGCGAAAAATAAAGGGAGGGGGTGGAGTGAAAAGATAAGCTAACAAAATTAGCAAACTTAGAAAACAAAGAGTTACTCAGAAGTGAGTCACCAGGGTAATTGAAGTCCAACAACGGATTCTTTTTGGACACATAAGTCAGGCTTCAATCGTTTTTTGCTATAGCTTCAGCAATCCTGAGAAGGCTTGTCTGTTAATTATTTTGAATGATTCCAGCACATCTACTTGGTGTCCTGTGTCAATCAGGTGTTTGGTGACTGACGAGCTTAAACAATTCGGTCCCTTTAACCAGAGGCTCCTTGGTACATGTTTGCAGAATCTGACGTAGGCCCCCCTCTCTGTTCGTCCCATGTAACTACTCCCGCAGATAGATGTGAATTGGTATACACAGTTGGATGTAACATGTGAGGGGTACTTGTCAATCTTTGACTGCACCAATGAGGAGGTTGTTCGGGGTAGAGAGACTAATAATGCTGCAGGATACATCCTGGACAAGGCTGCACTTAATCTTTTATTTACCATTCGTTGCCCCTGTAGTCGAGTTTGATGAAAATAGGCTTCTTACTGGCTGTAGCTGTATCAAGCTTCTTTAGTTCATTCTTGCCATATTAGTTAATGAAACTTTGTGGGTAACCATTTTCTTTCAAGCACTTTTCAAGAAGCATTAGCTTACACTTTAGACACCTTGTAAATCGCAACCCCTTATTCCACTATGACGCTCTGACAATATGCTTGTTAATGCACAAAAGTTTGTTAAAATTGTACACTTTTTATTTTATTAAAGAGTTCAGGTTGTACGCAGATGATGAGAACCGACGAAATAAAATGGATCTAGATTATTCTGCGCCAATGTTTCTTCTTTCTTTGTTCAACTATAGAGCAGTGCCTGAACGTGTTCTTTTGAATACAAAGTTCTGGTTTAGTTGATCTTATTGCAACAACTTCAGCTGTGTTTAAAAACGTAGGCGAACTGTGTGTGATAATGACTTCGGAATGAAGGTTATGTCGACGTCGATCCGATGTCTAGTATCAACCGATTGTGACAGAATCAAAATTTTATGCGTCGGTGGTGCAGTGGTTAGAACTCTCGCCGACCATGCACATGGTCCGAGGTTCGATCCCCTACCGACGCACACCTGATATCTATGGTCGGCCTGCAAAATTTGGGCTACCGATATCCATGCTGAAAATCCCATACTTCTACCAAAAATACAGTGTGGAATCAAGCTGTAATCAAAAATAAAAAAAATTAATTCCACCCTATGTTGCTTTCTACTGTAAAATTCTAGTGAGTTAAATTTGGACTTTTAATTCATGATATTGGAGTATTTAACACCATTAAGTCATATACTGAGATGTGTTCTGACACCGTGCATGTAGCCAGATTCTTCGCTTAGGAAGACAGTGCAACATAAGGTTGCAGTGGCGCGTGTTCATTGTACTTTTTTCCTTGACATCACTTTTAGCTGACTCTAAGATTCCTCAAAAAGCTTCCATTTTCTCTTCAAATGATCTTCTCGATGTCATCTTCGGTCGCCCAATTCGTTGCTTTCCATTTGAGTTGTACTCAAGGACTTGAATGTCTAGTCCATATATATTTCTTTTTGAGTATTCAGCAATATATTCTTGACTGGTCATCTGCCTGCCAGGATCCCTTGTTGCGTATCCTCTGGGGTCATCTGCTCTTCAGTATTGAGTGAAGGCGTCTGTTAGTGAAAGTCTAAATTAGCCTGCTGGAAATGTGTTAGGAGATGCGCACACACGCATACCAAGTCTGTGAAGTATATAGACGCACTGACTGACTTGTCATTAGTGTTAACGAGGAATTCAGACCATTTCCCTTCTTGTGTTAATCGAGTGCTGTAAATCTTCACATTAATTTTAGAGGAATGAACACCTGCGTATTTTGTTTTCCCAATTTTAGCTGACTTCGATGTCGTCATTCGTATCGCCTCGGGTAGTTAAAATGATGGTGCCCATTGATGATGACTAGTGTTTCATTGTTCTTTCTTTTTTGTTTTTTACCACACATATTTACACTTATATTTATTTGTTCTCTTTATTTTTTCTATCCTACAAATAACATTCCTTCATAAATGATTAGCATTTCCTGTCTGCACTATTCACAAATGCTGAACAAGTAGCAACTCGTATCAACACAGAAGTCGTCGTGCCAAATCGTAACAGTGATGGTGATGATAGTGACACAACCAAGTCTGCTGTTACTGCTGCTTCAAATAATAATGTAGCATGGAAATGTGTCAAGGAGGATCCTTCCATCTATGAAGGCAACAATGACAAGTCTATAGAGACTCGTGATACAATTCTAAAAAGTGAATACCACTCATCTAATAATGATTTATGTACAACACAATCATCGGATAATTTACAGATGTGGAATGAATGGTTTGGCGTAAGTATTTTTCTCATTAAACCTTTTTTTTCTTCTCTACTTTTTTGTAATAGTTGAGTTTGTGGCTTTGTGGGGGGCGGGTTGATTGCATTTCAGGGGTAGACTTCATATGTTGCTTCTTAGGATGGGTGAATGCATGCTGCAGAAGAGTTCCAGACGAGAACGGAATATTTACTCTGAGTCCTGCTCGTTTTCTGTTTCATAATGAAGTCAACCTTGAAGTCATTCGAATTCACAGAAAGTAAACTTTCGCAGTAATTATCCAGTGTTCATTGATGCTTAACCTCAAAGAAAAGTTTTTCAGGGATCTATACTAAGAAATTGCACGAAAACACTTGATTACTGATGGATGACACGGAATGAGATAGTGCAGCAGCAATATAGGGAATGAATAGGAGTCTCTTAGTTAGTGGATCATTGAATCCGAACTCAGTAGCTGAATAAACGAAACCTGACGAAGGTAAACTTTAAGCACCAGAAATGTAGCGTCGAACAAATGACATTGAATGCACCAATCATATGAAAGAGGCGTTGTTCACGTATAAAATACACAATTATGAAAATAATGAATAAAAAGACTTAAGACTGTTACACAGGATACCTTTATCTGACGTGTGATAAAAATTCCCTTCAGTTTAGCATTGGAGTGTTATTAGGGTAGTTAAACCACATTGTATGCTTGGATTGATCTGGGTCGTCTAACTCTAATGTAAAAATATCTATAAAATAACTCTAGTCTAAATCCAACCAACCCAAATATTTCCCCTATTAGCTTAACCTAACCCCAATCTGTCCTCAGCCCAAACCAAAATGTAACTTATCTCTAAGCGTTGTGAGATTATTGGTGCTGTCTCACCTCTTTACTACTTTATGATGCCTAAAGTTTAACTTTGTCGGGAACCTATCCTCCTCGTTACCTTGAAGATCATGAATTTAACTTGTAGGTGTTGTTATATATGACTAATTCTTTCATAATATTACATTTGGTTTTTTACAGTACAACTTCGTTTGTATTTTTTCTCATTTATGACCTCTGAACTCTATTGGTTGTTAACTGTTCCAACCTGTCAGATAAAGGACATTTAAAACCAAGTTTATTTAAGCCCATATATATATATATATATATATATATGGAACTGCTGTTAAGTTTTTTCACTCTTGATCCGAGACAGTAAAACCTCTCTACTCAACAGCGTGTTTTCTTCTTTGCGTCGCGTGTCAGTGGTAGCCGGTTGTAGTTGTTGCTGTTGCGAGTAGTAATTAACACATTAGGCTGGCGAATCTGTTGGCTAGGAAGTTCGTTAGAGCAATAGACTCTTAAACTACCAGTGATTATTATTATTATTATTATCGTATTTGACGGTTAGGTTAGATTTACACTGTTGAAGAGCTTTTAACTTTGGCGAATTAACTGCTCAGTGCCCGTTGTCCTCCAACAATAATCGAAACCGATATCAACGCGTAGCGTAATCTACCTTGAAATCAATGTATTTAATTAGTATAGGTGTGTTATTTCTATGTATACTAACATGTGAACTGTACTTTTGGCTATGTACACGTATACTGCACTATCAACTTATGTTATAATGAATGGAAAATAGTTACAAGTCAGTTATCTTAATCAGTTGGATGTAATTAGAACTGTGCTGTGTGTATAAACCTGAAGCACTTACACCCAAAGCAATCATCATACGCTTGGATCAATGAGTCACTGAGTGGAGAAAGTACATTGCATTAATCTAGGCACTCTACTGGGACTCGTGCAGCCAAGTAAGAGCTTACGTAAAGTTGTCATCTGTCCCCATTTCTGTTTAATTTCTATCATAGATGTACTGAAGGAATCGACCCTAACTACAGCTACTTAGGGATTGCTTTGTTACTAGGGTACCGTCTTGTTGACTTAGAATATGTGGATGATATCCCCCTGGGTGAAGACGCTGATAAAATGCAGAGTTTTCTGAACACCTTGGGCAGCAATCCTCGAATCGTCTGGCATGCGATTTTTTCCCATCAGATGTGAAATGATGCTACAGGACTGGACTATACGGAGTGAAGTGGTAGAGCGTATTGACAACTTTACTTATTTGGGAAGTTGCATCAGTCCCAACTGGCTGATTGCTGAAGAAATCTAGGCACGGATAATAAAGACTTATTTGGCATTCGCCAACTTCAATCAACCAATCAGTCGACGGGAAATGCAAAATTAACCTGAAGACATTTAACCTGTCTCATTGACCTACATGCTTGAATTTTCACGGCAACATCGGCCCCTCACCAACATTGAAAAGAGACACTTTGTTTGATGAATATCAACAACTATGATGCTGTAGATCACAGTAATATGCTGTTGCCCAAAACTTAGTGACTGGCCACCAACAATACATTTAAAGAATAAACTCAACTAATTACCATCGTGTGATTAACTCGCATAACTTTTATTTCAGTGGGATGTCAGTTTTGATTGAAAGAGGGAACTTTGGTATTTGCTATGTTCAGTCTGAGAGGGGGAACGTTTAGCTTACAAAAGCCGACTGTAGTCTTTCTCTCTCTCCCTCTTCCTCTCTTATTTATTTATGGTTCGGATTGTGAAAGTATATGTGATCTGACAACCAGCATCATAACAGTGATAAACGGATAATCATGTATTATTATTACTTGTGCATATGATATCTTGGTAAAGTTTTCGTTAGTGGAAATGAAGTTGTAACCATTCAGTTGACTATTTTCTCAGTTTAATCTTTGTCATAATAATAATTTGCTTTATTCCAAAACAGTACTTGTGATACAGAATGGAATTCTCAGCATTTTACTACAGTATTGCATCCAGTTTGTACATTAACAATAAATATAGTTCTACATAGATTAAGGGTAATCTCAGTTAGTTATGACGACAACATATTAGCATGTCGGTAGCAAAGTAAAAAATTGAACAGTGTTTGAAGGTGTTAGAAAAGTAGATACTACTAGCATATTTACTCGCATAAGCGGTATCAAAAAGGTCGAGATATACAGAGTGTGAAAGAACGGAGAGGAATGTTTTAAATAGAGTTTGTAAGGAAGAAAGAAACAAAGCAGCATATAACAGAGAAAAAAGAGAGAAAAGGAAAAGAGGAAGAAAACGTTATACCTATAAATGATATGAGTTGGAAAGACGAGATTCAGTTGTTCTACTGACTATTTAATAAGTTATAGGTATCACGCCTAATGCTTCCTTTATCGCACAGTCTCGTTTCAGTTTCATTTACAAAGTCCATTCGTTCGAGCGTCAGGACAAATATCCATTGATGACATTGGCCAGTGGTCGCGCTAAAATGTCGAATTGGTAGAGGATGAAATTCATGGGACATTGGATGGCGTTCCAGTAACTGAATGGTCTACTAGCTTGCTTTGCAACCTGAAGCCCCTTGGTTCAAACCCTCGTGGGTGCGTGCTGCTTGAGAGAGTTCCAAACACTGGGACGAAACAGCTCTTCGGTACTTCCTGGTTGGTTTTCACTGGTTCTTTAACTGACATCAATTCGTGATCAAATTTGAAACAAATCCAATCCCTGCATACATAAACAAGTTCACTAAACTCAAAAGTCAAATACTTTTTAACACTAATTAGTAGTTAATATGCAATTCTTTCTTTTTGGTCGATTTTTTATAGGTAAAAGGTGATTTAGACACGTGTATAGATCGTTTGTTGTCTGACTTTGAATCGAATGAACTTACCAATACTAGTACCAGTACCAGTACCACTAACATTCCTGCTACCAAATCGGCAGCTGATATCACGACTAACATTACTACGTTTACTTCTACTGCTGCTACTACTACTACTAATACTAATACTACTAATACTGTTGTTGTCAACTTTGAAAATTATAACGATGTATATATTGTAGATATTGATGATCCTTTACATGAATCAGCCATAAAAATGTTGAAGGTATCAATGAGTGTAATTTCAAATCCCTGTGTCTCACAATCCTTATCGATTCCAGTGACATCATCTTCCTCCTCTTCTTCTCCTTCTTCTGTGATCTCTGTATCTCCTGTTACCGTGAGCACAACAACGATACCAGCACTACCAATAACACTAACGACAAGAACGTCATGTGAATCTCATGTCAATTCACCAGTTACGTCATCTTCTACACGATTGCTTAAGAGAAACAAGAATATTCATAAAAATGATCGATTTATTACGTTAGAAAATAGTAATAATAATGCAAGCATGACTTCAAAATTTATCACAAATAGTCAACAGATCACTCATCAACCAGTAACAATAACGTCCTCAGGACTTTGTTCAGATCAGCTGTCTGAGCCATTAAAACAATTACGGAATAAACGACGGTGTTTAAATAAAACTTCTAATGATCACAATAATAATAATAATAATAATCGCAGTGGTAGTAGTAATAGTTTCACCACTTTATCGTCTGTGCTGAATACACTGGATTCAAACAAAGCTTACAATAGAAATGAGTATGAAATTTATAATAGCAATAATAACACGACTACTAATAATAATGAGGGGTTATTTTCTTATAATCCATCACCAAGTTGTTTACTATTCAACAAGAATACAGGTAATTAGTGTATGCTCATGGTTTGTTCGTTTTTTTGAATTATATATATATATATATATATATATATATATATATATATATATATATATATATATATATATATATATATGGAGAGAGAGATTATTATCATTCCCTTGAGTTCCGAGCGGGACATAGGGTTTTAACAACACATCTCCACTTTGTCCTATCTTATGTCGTCCTCTTTAGCTAGGATCATGATTGCTCCACAATCTCTCATCTTCTCCTCACATGATCTCTTCCATGTCACACTATGACGACCCACTCGTCGCTACCCATTGAGATTTCACTTGGGCGATGTCCTGGCGCGTGGTGTCATCCAATGGACTCCCCAATGCATGCTTGATCCACATTCTCTTGGAAATTTGTTGAGCGATCTGTTCTTGGCTGGTTTGTTCTCACAGTTTCTTGTTACATATTCTTTCTGGCTATTTGGTCTTCAGTATGGAGTCAGCGAAGTCTGCAGTGGCCTGTTGTATGTCCTTTTCGGGACACGCCAAGTTTCTGACCCGCACAGAAGGACCGACTTGACATTGGTGTTGAAAATCTGAATCTTGTTCTTTACGTTAAGTGCAGAAGATTTCCAAATTGGTTTCAGGTTGATGAAAGCGTATCTTGCCTTTCCTATTCTGCCTGGTGTTGACATCTTCGTCCGTTCGGACCGCCTGTAGTTGAAATGATGCTTCCTAGATAAGTGAAGGAGGCAACCTATGTCAAATCTCTCCCGTTGATGGTGATTGGTGCTGGTTGTTGTGGCCGTTGATTAATTATCTTCATCATCTCCATCTTCTCCATGTTTACTTTGAGTCCTGTTTCCGCTACCTGCCTCTTCAGCCAGTTTGTTGGTTTTCGCTTGCAAGCCTCCGAGTTTGTATGACATCAGATATATATCATCTGCGAAATCCAGATCTTCTGGAGATTTCTCATCGGTTGTCCAGCGTACCCCTGTCTCCTCGCTTCCCACAGTCTAACGCATAATCCAGTCTACCACAATTAAGAATATCACCAGTGGTAGTAGGCAGCCCTCTCTTACTCCTGTATGCACTTCGAACGCTTCGCTGAGTTTTCCATTGTGGATCACCAGACACGTGGCACTGCCACATAACCAGCTGTTGAATGGGGTTGATAAAGATTTTTGCATTGGACGTCCTAGTGTTGAAGTAGTTTCCAAATTACTTCTCGGTCAACACTGAACTGTCGAAGGTATTTTCGAAGTCGATGTAGTTGAGGTGGAGAGAAGTTTGATTGCCATTCTATGCTTTTTTCTGTGATGACGATGAGTAGAGTTGCAATTTGATCAGCACATGATTTGCTTTTTCTGAATCCAACCTGTTCCGGGTGGGAGTCCTGTATCCAATGCGTCTTTCACTCTTTCCAGGATGATGCGACTTAGTATTTTACTTGGCGTGGACAAGAGCATGATTCCACGCCAGTTCTTGCACAGACCTAGGTTGCCCTTCTTTGGTAGCTTGACGAGGTAGCCTTTCTTCTAGTCAACAGGCACCTTCCCTTCCTTCCAAACCTTTTGTAATAATGGCGTGAGAACATCTGCTGCACTGTCATCACTTTGGGGGTGAATTCCGTCCGGACATGCTACCTTTCCGAACCTCAGTAGCTTGGTGGCATTCAGAACTTCTGCTTTCGCTGGAGGAACTGGTGTCCACTAGCAGTTCTGTGCGTGGTATTTCTGGGTGAGTTGCAGGTGACTGTCAATTCAAGGCTCCTTTGAAGTGATCAGCCCATTGTTTGACTTGTTTCTCCTCCTTGATGATCAGGTTCCCTTGAGCATCTTTTATTCATTTCATCATGTGGGTTGATCTTTTTCCGGATAGAGATCTGGTTATTTGATATAATATCCTGAGATCTATTTTGCCTTCGGCCAGCCTGTCCTGCTTCAGTTGACGGCCAGTGTCGTAGCATTGGCTTTTGTCTTTCCTAGCACTCTTCTTCACTCCTTTATTCAGTGCAGTTAACATTGAACTCAGATTCTCCTTCTATTGTGCATCTTTGCATTGAGTCATCTCTCTCACCATCCTCCTCTCCTCGATTAGCTTCCAGGTATCCGTTGAGAGCCATTCTTTGTCTTACCTGTTCTTTCTTACTAGAAAGGTTGTTCACGTTCCCTTAAATATTGCTTTCAGAGAGTTCCAATGTTCTTCCACACAGGTTTCCTCGGTGATAACACGTAGTGTCTCCGACTTTGCTCTGATCTAATCATTAGCGAAGGCATCCCTTGTAGTTTTGTGCTTCAGTTTCGGAATGCTGAACTTGAATTGTGGTCTATCTCCATTTGTTTTCATGGATTTTAGCTTCACCTTGGAGGTTCCTTGAACTAGATGATGGCCTGAGCCCACATCTGCTCCCCTTCTCGACTTTGCATCCAGCAGGCTGCGTTTCCATTTCCTCAAGATTGATATGAAATCCATTTGGTTTGTGGTTTGTCTGTCAGGCGAATTCCATGTTGCTTTGTGTATATCTTTGTGTTTGTACACACTGCATCCGATCACCAAATCATTGAAATAGCAGAAGTCTGCGAATAATTCTCTGTTCTCATTCATTTCTCCTACCTAGAGTTGTTGTGACCTTCTTTCCTTTTGAGTTGAATCTTGCTGTCATGATCCTGGATGAAATCGGTTCTCATCGCATTATGGCTTTGGCTGCCACTGGCGACATCATTATAGCCACTCCTTCAGTGTGTTCGTGGTTGTCATCTGGGTGACCGGAGTAGATGAGCGACTCTCCAGTTGACAATTTGGCAATCCTCATCCATTCCATCTACTCTCGTAGATAGCCAGCTATTCTAGGGCATATCTTTGCATTTCTTTGGCTACCTGGGAAGCCTTCCCAGTCTCGTACATTGTACGGACATTCCACGTCCCCATTCTTATTCTTGCTTGCTTTCATCGAGAGAAGACACATCGACTGACTGATTGGGCTGTGTTATTTCGCCTGTCTGATTCGAGCAAAGAATAAGATTGTTGTTATGCGGACTTTTTATATTTTTAATATATTTTTTGTGTGTTGAAGTTTCTTAGTGGTTTGATAGCTTTATTGGTGTAGGGTTGAAAGTCCTACGCCCAACTCCCCCCTTTCTACTCGGGCTTGGAACCTGTTAGAAAGCCAGCAAGCTAGTTTACTAGGCGAGGTTTTGACTAGAGATTAGTTACTACCTAATGTCCAACTGGAATATCCATTGCAGTCCTACATAAGATCACTGGTGACCCGAAAAGCCTAGTGGTAACTTCTCCGACTGCAGCACTGGCTGACACAAGTGCTAATCTCAGAGGGGACCTGTGTTCCTTCAAGATGGCGGATACTCCTCGCTGACGAGTTCCAACTAGCACGAAACCTAGGACCAAGTTTTCTTGTCGATTGCTTCCAACCACCTTACAACGATATATATATATATATATATATATATATATATATATATATCATACATATTTCATATTCATAATGTTGAATAAAAAATGACGACAATCGGTATCCCCGTCGTAAGTCTTCAGTTGTCCAGCAGTAGTAGGAATGCTCGCAAACCAAGACGTAGGTGGTCCAGTTTCGATTCCCGTCCGACATACACTCTTAAACCTAGCTTAGCCCGTAGTAATAAATCCGGTGAGGAGTTGGGGTTGAACATATCAGGCTAAAACCCACTCACCTTGTGGAGACAACGCTACGGCTACGGAAACTCCAAAGCGTAAAAGCTTGAAGCTTTATGTTCCGCTTGGGATAGGACAGAAAATCTAGGAAAGGATGTGATGTGATAAAATTTTTACCTTGTAAGTTAAGTCACCAAGGTAATGCAAGATTTCATTACTATCTCCTTCTGTGTACATAGATTTGGTTTTAATCGTTTAATTGTGATTGCCCCACGTAAACGTAGCAAGCTAAATTTATTTTTCCTATTGATTATTTTGGACGTCTTCAAATTGTTCTCAACAATGCTAGTGTCCAATAGATGGCGCACAATCTCATTGTCTAATTGATATATATCCATATAATATGTGTGTTTTGTTTGACAGTCTGTCCTTGGTGATATATATCCATATAATATGTGTGTTTGTCTGACAGTCGGTTATATTTTGCTATGTATACATGGATCGATATTCCATCATAATTAGCCAATCATGTTAAGACTGTCTATTGATTTTTTCATTTTGGATATTCGCTCACACACTTGTGTTCACACACTTGTTCGGACATTCATATTTTTGCTCTCACACTCTTGTGTGACATTTATTGATTCTCCTGGTGTTTTGGAAAATAGAGGTATCATCGCAAACGTAGTGGTCTTCTGATTTCCGTCTTTCTTGCATCAGGACTATTAAATTCTCGACCAGTACATAACACTAATGCCTGTAAGCCCTTTGGTCTCAGACTATTTGGTATGTGCTCAGAAATGCGGAAAATAACCCTACTCTCTGTTCTTCAGATATATGGGCTTTGGCACGTTATACTGTTTCTAGTTAAACTTTTTTCCTGGACAAAAAAATTCATGAACTTCGTCTTGTTGCTTTCAAGCATATTCGTCTAATTATTTCGTAATTAGGCAACCCGTTTTAACTCTTAATTATTCAACAACTTACATCGTTCCATTGGTCTTAGTTGCTAACTATTACTCCTTGTCATCGTGGAGAAAGTATGTTCAAATCTTTGGTATAGTTTATACCTTCTGTATTGTTTAGGTTGTAGCCAGTCGAGGGGACTCGTCGAAATAATAAAAGATAAGCTCATTCTATTCTGGTATATTTGTTGTTCTTGATTTGTACGAGTCTAGATAGTTGACAGTTATTACCTACTGCTAATACCTTTTTCGATTTCCAGTGCTGTTTTGACCCACCATTGCCTTTGTTGCGAAGACTTTTGGTCAGCTTGCAACAGCAGAAGAGAACTAACTTTTTCATTGGGGAGAAATGCATCATATTTATGCACTTTTAACCACATTCAGTGTCAGCTAGTTCAGCGGATAACAAACTTTTCTGATTGGTTGGCGACTGGCCCAAGGTTAAACCATGAGAAAGCTGTCCAATGAGATTACTTCCTGACCACAACGTGAACTAAATCCATACTTGAGGAATAAACACTTTTATCCTTGCAGCCGTTAACTTAAAATGTTGACTTCAGTTTTGTTCGCTTCCTATCAATCTGTATCTTTTAAATCTTGTCCGTAGCAACCATCACATTTCCCCCTCATCAAGTAATTTTGAACGGAATCACTATGACCATCTTGGTGCTACCCACTCCTTTTGCGTCTTGTTGTCGGCTTGCTTATCCCACTCTTTCTGCCTCTGGGGTTGGTTGGCGTTAATACCTTTCTGTTTGTCTCCTCTTCATACGGTTTAGACGGGACCACGTCTCTCGGTTACAGTGTATAGTCCACCTCACTTGGGGAGTATTCCGTTAACTTAATCTGCATTCTTAACACTTCACTTGATCTCCGACTTCAAACGTTATGCATTTCTTCTTGCTTATCTCTTCGAATCTCTCAGCACTTGTACTTTACATTTCTGATGGCTTCTATTCCGTTCGCGATCATGGCATACTCCATTCTTGTTGAAGGGGCCAGGTTGTACTTGTATTGGTAGTCGTAGTTTCCTACCATACATCAACTGGAACGGTGACAATGTGATGGTAAAATTAATGGAAACTCCCACTTACCTCTCTTTGAGACCAGCCACCTCCTCAATGTACGGTTATTTCTTTCTGTCAAACCGTTCGCTTGTGGATAATATGGTTGTTGTGTCACCTACTGCCGTAACTGGGATTGATTGCAGAGGTGGTTGTATGCACCGACCTCCTTTCATCAACTGGCACTGTGGACATCCAAGTATATATTTTGCCTCATCTCTCATACCCGGCCAGTATACGCTTTGTCTTAAGAGGACAGTTGTTCTGCCTACCCCTGTATGTGCTAGCTGGTGACATTCTTGTATCGTCTTATGGCCCAGGGACTGAGGTATTACTACCAACCAGCTTCCATCGTTCTCTCACCAAGTCAAAGTTCTGTAGGCGTTCAGTCGTAATTGGTCCTTCTGCCTGTGTAACATCGTTAGCTCTCCATTCGCTGTAGGTTGACTGACTTCCATCCTGTCAGTGATCACCTGTATGACTGTGTTCAGGGTAGGGTCGGATCTTTGACTGCAGATAAGTCGTAATGGATCTTGCTCCAATGCATGTAGTCCATATGCGATTTCTTGTAACTCAGCTTCATCTTCCAGTCTAGATAAAAAATCTGCCGGCAGTATTTTCTTCCCTGGAACTTGAGAGATCGTGAAGTTTTGCTCCTGCAGGCGCAACATCTACCGCCACAATTTACCACGTGTATCTCTCTCTGTCTTTAGTTACCGTAGCGGCTTATGATCAGCTTCGATATGGAACCACTGACCGTGTAGATAAGGTTTCCATTTGTCTAACGCCCACGCTGTTACTAAACACTTTCTCGATCGTTGAATACTTGTGCTCGTGGGTGTTAGAACTCGACTGGCATACTGGATGACTCCTGTCTTAGCACTGCACCTATTCCGTTATCACTCACATCTGTGGACATTGTGAACTGTTATCTAGGTACCCGTAGTTTCGGTGTCATTTTCTGGTGGTCTAAAATCTGTTTAGTGCTGTTGAATATCTTCTGCAAATCTTCCGACTAAACAAACTTTGATTCACTTAGTAGCCGCTGTCTCATTGGAGTTTTACACTAACCGACTATAAAACACTGCTGTCTCCAAGATCTGTTGTAGTATAGTCTTCGAATTTGGGGACTTTGGTCTTTATCGTCAAGATTTTCTCAGGTAGCGATGAGTTGGTCGTCCGAGAGTGGCATAAAGGAGGTCATGTGAAGAGGAGATGAAAGCATGTGGGCAGACGTAGATCCAGAGGAAAACGTTGGCATAGGACCGAACACAGTAGAGGCGTGTGGCTGAAGCCCTATGTTCCACTAGGTACTGGCGAAAACAATAATAATAATTTCCTACTTTATGTCCCAACAACGTAACTACTCCGTTTGGCTATCTGAAGTTTTTTTTGTTGTAGTGCAGTCCAGGCTCTTCATTGCCTTTTAACATGTCGTCGACGTGTTTCACATGATCACTCTCAGTTTGAGATCATCGGCGTACTCCTCCACCCTCTTCGACTCTAAGTAACTACGTCATTAGCCATCTGAATGTGAAGAGTTCACCTGCCAATCCAGACGACATGTGTTTAAAACTATATTGTTTCTGCCCCTCTATGAACGCTGTCTTGTTTCTGTCTCCTTATTTTATCGGTATCTGCTAGCATCCTGATTGGAGGTCGAGAACTGTAAGCGAATTTCCACTCTGTAGGCGATCTAGGGTTTCTGCTGTAGCTGGTACAGCTGAAGGTCTCGGTTCTGTTATGCTGTTTTAACTGTCGGAAATCAGCACCGAATCTGTACTTCCCACTTATTTTTTGCACAAAAAAGACTGCGAAGTTTTACAGGCTGTCAGCTTCTTCAATTGTATCATCTTTTAACACCTCTTGCCACTCAACTTCTTCTAAATGACACTGGACTTTTCGTGTTGTGAATAGTGTTATTTTCCGACCGGTCATTGGGATTTCATGCTTCATCTTATTATAACAACCATAAGGGTCCCCATCTTCAATGAACAGATGATCGTATTCTCTAAATAACATCGTTATATTCTGTATTTTCGACACTTCCATCCCATGCTATTTCGCTGTTCTTTTGTCTTCCTTTGTGTGCCATATGAAGTTTGGCGACTCAAACTGCTGTCTTTCTGTGCAGAGTTCTATGTTGAAGCCAGTCAGTCAGTTCTTAACCTTCAGCTGTGTATTTTGCTGTAATATTTAACACTATTCTGATGACACGTCCCATCTTTATGCTAATTCTATGAGAAGGAAGTTTCTCTAAAGCCTTATAAAAACCTGGTGGTGATGCATACAACACTTGACTTCTCTATCAACTGCTGACAGCTTAGGCTGCATACTGTGATGGGTTGTTTAGAGGATTTGTCAAAAAAGTAATCTGAGTGCTATTTTTATGCATCAAAATGAAGCTTAATTGTCAGTGGGATGGCAGTGTTTATGAATCAGATTTTAACTGTCTTGGATACTTTTGTATTGTGTTTAGCTTATTACTTAGTCTCCTATGTGGTGTTAATTGGAAGTTAATGTACTAATCAAATCTTGTATTCTTTGGTTCGCGTATCTTACTTATAGTGGCTACTACTTCAACTGTACCTACGGATATGCCATCACTTCAACAGTATCGATATCGTCATCTATTAAACGATTTACCGGCATGTTATTATTTTTTTCCAATGAATGCTCAAGCACCAATTACTCGTCATTCTACAAGTACTAGTATGGCTACTGTCCCTTTGACTAATAATCATTATCCAGTTATTGATTTAACTCGATTGTCAGATAGTAATAACAGTAGCAATAATACCACTACTATTACTAACATACCAACAAGTACTACTATTACTACTCCTGCTACTGTTGCCACGATTGCGACAGAAAATACTACTTCGACAGGGGTTGCTAGCACTTTTACTACGATCAGTACCCGACTAATTCCTGCCATCCCATCATCTATTGTTGCTGGTGATGATGTTCGCTATGTGAACACTTCTCAAAACAATTGTAAACAATATTCAAAAACCTCAGAGATATCCACGGATGCTAAAGAGAATCAACCACCACAAGTGAGTAATAATCGTGTTTTTATTTCAACCTTTATCTTACTTTTACTTTTTTTCTTTAACCAACTCATTGTTTTTTGAAGTGTGCGTGTGAATGGTTATTTCTTCTTGTTTGCTCACACGGTGTAAATTGACTCTTTATTGGATTATATGAAACCAAAAGAAGGCATTAATGTTGGTTTACTGCCGAACCCCTGAAGGGGGGGGACTGCCCGTTACACACGGTCTGTCTGAAGTGGTTTTTGAAGTTTTGCCCATATTAAGATGTTACCTTGGGCCACAGGCCATCACCACGGAGTAATCCGTGTTGTACACTTTCTCCAGAGTTGACAGCGGCAGCATAGTTGGCTTGGTTGGCTTACCGCTGTTATATCCTCACTTCTTAGCAGGTACGACTACGCTCACAGACCTCCAACATTGTAGAAGCAATTTACACTACAACGGTAACTACAACCGCTATCAAAACGATTTTTCTGGCATGATGGAATCAGTAGGAACATTCGTTACAGCCAGGGTGGTTCGTTGGTTCATTGTGGCATTCTAGTCTGATCACCAGGGTAAGATTTCAGCTATCTTTCGGACTGCCAGTATCTTGATACAGTGTTGAGGATTGCATTCTTGAATATGGTTACTACTACAACTTGATGACAAATTCATACTGCTGGCTAGGAGTGTGGGGCTTTCATATCAGCAAGGCGTTTCTTTTGTACGTTCGCCAGGCTAGGGAGAATAATGACAAAAGGGATGGTAAAGTTGTCGCTTAGAGCAAACCAGACTAATTCAGGTGAATAAAGCATATTAATGAACAATCACTATACTTAAAAGGTGTCACAAGAATAATTTCTAGTTTCAAATCGAATTGTTGGTATTGTTCAAAATGTCTATAGTTTTGGTTATGCGGGTAAAGTTGCGAGATAGAATACAGAGTTCAACGTAAAAGTTAGGAATTATGATTTGCTTTTAATGGCCAAGCTAACACTTAAGCACCGATGGAGTGCGACCGCACCAATGACCAAGGAACGTTGAGTGAGAAAGTTAGTGAAACTAGGTAAATAATACTATTATCATGGATAAAATATGCTAAGTGAAATATTATGACATTAAACGGAACATTTGGTAAGTTTTAAGTTAGAACTGGAAAAGATTAAGCTAAAGTTTGAGCTGAGGACTGAGATCGGGTCAGGTTAACCTGATAAGGAGATATTAGGATTGGATCTAATTAAATTAGGTCCAGTTTAGGAGTAATTCTGCATTAGTAATAGGTTAAAGATGGAATAGAGTTAGGATTCGAAGACTTAGGTGAATATGGTTTATTTGCTCCAGGGGAAAAAGATCCTACGTTACAGTTTCATGACATTGTAATCATTATTTTCATAAATATATGTCCTTTGTACGTAAAATTAGCCTTTTTCAAGTGACTAGTGCGGTACGTCACACTGCTTGGGCGCTTGAAGTTTAACATCTGCCTTTTTAAGTGCTCTTCCATGGTTAAATCTACTACCTTGAGTTACTAATGGTAACCTCCTTCTTTTGTGATATCATCACTTCACTCCCAAACTCTGATTTGGGTGTCTCGTGGTCACTACGGGGTCGGTCATTCTCTTGGACCTGATAAATTGTGTGGTTGGAGGCTTTAGTGATTTGTTTATTCAGATAGACAAGGTTCAGTCAAGGAGTCATGTGTTTCTGAAACTGAACGTCAAGCGACCATCCGAGAAAACACATGATGTGTGAATATGTCATGCTAATCCTATTGGTTTATGGGCTTGCATATAACCTTGTGCTTCTAGTTAATGCCTGTTGACTTTGTTCAGTGAGAATTTCAATCAAGTGTGACAATGCAGATTTAGTCTGTCTATCTAGCCATCTATCTACATGCTTAGATTTGTTTTCCTACGTTCGTCAGGTATTACCTAAGCATTAGAACTGTTCACTGGTGGTACTGAAAACGAAGTAACAAAGAAGTGACTCAGAGGTATGCTTGTAACTTTTAGCCGATGATGACATTATTTAATAACTGGTGAAGTCTATCCACCTTATCGAAGAATGCTGTTGGACGGTAAAACTACTCACATAACTTCTACACGTGACTCTATCGACCCTACACAGACACGTCTATGATATACAGTTATTGTGGTAACGAAAATATTTAAGAATGAAACAATCACGTTGGTTTGTTTCTACGGTTCATCACATCCATACAGTTATGTGAGTGTTTCTTTATGATGATGATATAGAGGAGGTAACTTGACTATTAAATGAAAGAAGAGATCTACCAATCTCCAAATACCGTATGTTCTGTACTTTATATGCATCTTGTGTCTGTATTTTCCTCAATAATACCTTCCACTGTTCATTTTTGATGAATATTGTTTTACGAACACGTAACACAGATTCAGATTTTTTTGATTGAGAACAGAAGGCCTAAATCCTTTGTTAATCCCTTTTTAATAAGTATCTGTGCTTCTCTAATCCCTTCTTGAACTAGTTAATTAAAGGCGCAGACATCAATTTCTTTTTTGGAGTTCGTTTCAGGAGTCAATGAGTCGATTTGAGAACCAGTACTCTACACTGATATAATTCCTCCTTAGCTCTTAAACTCCTGTTGTTGTTCTGTGAGATGTTCTGATCTGGTAGGAAGCACAAGGGAACTGTAAACATTGTGATGTGATCTCTGCCGACAGTATGATAAGGAGAAGAGATTCAAACTGTTAAGCCTCTTCTTGTCTGATAAACTAGTCATAGCACGAATCCTACTTGTAGTAACCTTCCTTTGAACTCATTCTAGAATATTACTCTCTTTTAAGACATGGGTTGGATGAACTCTTCTAGTTTTGTCACCTACCCAGAGATTTTTACATATACTCAGCCCCCCCCAGGTTCAAGTTTGATGGAATTTGAACAGTACGTATTTTATAGCCAATGAACTATGCTTGACTTTCGTCTAAATATATCTTGGAGATGTCGAAAACTGTAACACTTTACCGTGATAACGAAATGACTAAGATTCAAACAATTAGGTCATAGTGGTTAGTTGAAACATGTTGTGATATCTCAAAACAATAGGAAATAACGCCTGCAAGATGGCTATCTCCACTCTATATTGTTTACTAGTATCCCCACGTTTCGTCGTTGGAGTAATAGTTAGTGCTACTTCAATCTAATTTATGTGTATGAATTCATTGAGAACACTTAACATCATATCATTTCATGATCGATTTAACACTCAAATCATGTTCTTCAAAGGTCACTCAGAACCCTTCAATGTAACTGGTGTTTAACCGTCCCATCCAATGAATATCAACAAAATCAGAAGATTGTGAATATACGCAGGCAGTGATTACTGCTTGTCTCTAGCCACTTCATTTATCCGTGTGCATACTTGTTCCAATTATAACGACACATTGAATAATTGATATTGACGCGCACACACACACACACACCTGCATTATGGCTAGCTTCTCCCTCTCTCCACAAATCCTTTCCGCAAAGTCCTATCATGTAATATCAATACGCGTATCTGGTTTTCGCCCCGTTTCCCGCAGTTGTAGTTTTTTTTTGAAAACGGTTTTATTAGCCAACGCCCAATACATCAGTACTCTACCTAACTTGTACGTACTGACAAAAAATGTAAATCAAAATGACTCAGTTATTAAGTGTTGTCTGATGGGCAGTATATATGAACAAATAGTTAAGATTATTTAGGGAAAAGAACTTTGAACTTATCTCGTAGCGCCCTAGCATCAGCATCTTTGGAAATGGATAACACACATGCTCGGTGATTGTCCGCGTCGGAAGGATTTCGCCTACATCTTCTTCATGCAGCACCGAAGCCTAAGCAATCCTTAAAGAGAAACCTGAACTTTGTGTACAAAAACACTTTCTCTGGCTTCTTTTACTACCATGGCCTTAGTAATAATTCCTCTGTTTTTCTCTTCAGTCTTTGTTTTCCGGAATAACTGTATAATAAGCTCTGTGTAGGCCGTTTTTATGTTTTTCAACTATTTCCGAACGATTATTTATCTTACTCAACTAATTAAATTGTAAACCTTATCAGTTACGTAATACTATTCCTAATTTTTCAAACAGCGTTATTACGCATGCACTTTGCTTTGCTTTGTTACTAGCTGATAAATAACCTTTGACTTCTGCTGTATTTTGAAAACACTTTAAATAACTGTACATCTCTGAAGTGAAGTTACCGAACTCATGTGTTCTTAATTCGATTTTTGACAGTTACCGTTACTTTTGTCAAACTGAAGCTGTCAGAGTTTGGTGTTTGAATTTTTGTACAGTTTTTGCAGATGTGAAACGTTGTCCCCATGTGTTTCGTCTTTATCTGTGTAGAATGTGTATACTGTGAGTAATTGAATACTTGTGTGTAAAGTGTAAATTTATCGCTTAATACCGCCGCGGCGGCGAAGTCTAGTTGCAGACTAGTTAAGGTGTCATTTAAGTATATTGTGTTCCTCTCATTGACTCCTGTTTTATTCTCTTTCTTTTGGTGATCTTTATAGGGTACTTCTGGGGAACGGAAAAAGGTGAGTAATTCGTAGTGCCTCAAATCCGTGTTTTCATTTGTTATAATGCCTTTTCTGCCAATGATTTTCAATTAAGTTGTGTTCTCTGATCTGACTTATTTAATTGCGAAGCTTTTGTCGTCCTTCTGGACGTCACATTCAACGAAGATTTCACCATAAAGTGGACTAACTCAAACTCTCCATGAATGATGTAATTGTATCTGCTGGCAACTACTGTCGTGACTGACTGTTAACTTTTTGCCTCTATTGGTCATATTTTTATTGATTTGGAATTCGGACTCTCTTGTCATGTGGTGATTTACTTTTTCAATAAAGAAAAAATCCCCATTTAGACATTTAGAAAACAGAAAGATTGAGCGAAGAAATATTTACTTTTCAATTAGATCCTCATCTCTGGCTCTACTCTAATATATATAGCATTTTAATTACAATACAACAATTTGCCAATCAAGTGGCGATAAGTTTGTTAACAATAATTAAACAGTGTCAAAATGTCAGTAGGTTAATAGTTAACGAAGAAAATCAATGTAGATTTAAAAGGTAGAAATGGATAGAATAAATTAATTTTACAAGGATAGCACCTAAATTAAAGATGAAGTGGTCAAAATAAATAAAATAAATAATTTAGACAAATATAATTTTATAGCTTTAAGGGGGGGGGCGACGCAGTCCTGTTTATCCATTCTTGTGACGATGGCCACGGTAGGGAAAGTGGCTGTACAAATTTTTTCTGTACACATAGGCTTTGCTTCTTCAGGTGAATGCCAGTCGCCTCAGCCGTCTGTAGAAGACGAACTCGCAGAGCAAAATTAAGATAAGTCGGAATGCGATAAATAATTTTAAATGCTGTATTAACATCAATCTTATGCTCAGTATCAACGACTATTTAACTATTTAAAACTCTTACGTAATTCCATATGTAATTTGGTTTCCATGTAAACCCTGAGCACAACTCTTTCATCAAACTACTCGTGTTATTACAAAACTTCTTTAATAATCGTTTGTGACAACTCATCACTTATGTTGCTACCCTCTTATATCAACATCCAGTTCCTCTAAACGCCTTTTGTATTACGTGACTCCAACAAAAAAAACTCAGTAATTGTAATTTCAAGAGTTGGCTTCCAAGGATTAGATTTGTTTACAGGAGTTTGACCACGGACTGATATCAGTTAGAGTACCACTGAAAACTAGGGAGTACTGGACAGCTGCTGTTTCATCCCAGTTTAGGAATCATGGGCAGTACGCACGCACTGGAGTGCGTACACACATGGAAAACAACCATATATATTTCCGATTGTATAGCTATGAAAATGAATTCGGCGAAAAGAGACTGTAAGCTGAACTACTGGTCTTCTGTTTATTACAAATGTGTCATCCAAATAATGTACCCGGCTTTTTTTTTAATTATGGATTTGGGCTATTAATGTTAGTCTTTGATTAGCTGCTTCAAATATTAGTTCTGTTATGGACGATCCCATTGGTGTTATTCCTATCTTTTCTCATATCTGATTATTCAATAGGAAGTATGTTGTAAGGCATAATTGTATCAGTTTCATCCAAGTTGAACATTGTGTTCTCATCGCTGTGGAGTTGTTGTCGTATAGTTCCTTTTTTAGTTTTGTAGTAATTGAAGTGTGTAATGCTGTGACAACAAAGGACAGCATTGTTTCATTGTATGTGTCTCATCTATCTCCATTTTATTCGGAATATTTTTTGAGCCATCAGTTCTTGGTTGGTTTGTTCCCAGAGTTCCTTGTTGATAATTCCCTCTGGCTGGACATCTGATCTTCAATATGGAACCAGCGAAGGCAGCTGTTGATAAAAGTCTGCACTACCCTGTTGAAAATGCTTTACGTGATGGGTTGGTCAATTTTCTGACTCATATAGAAGAACTGACTGATTTATGCTGAGTGCCTGAGTTCCGAAGATTTCCAGACTGATTTCAGATTTTGACATCTTCATCTGTGGTGTCCGCTTGTAGTTGAAATGATGGCGGCCCTCTATATAAGTGAATGAAGCAACCTCTTTGAAATCTCTCCGATTGATAGTGATTGGTGGTTATTGTTGTTGTTTGGTTATTTCCATCACTTAGATTTTCTCTCTGTTCACATGAAATTGTGTCTATGCTGACAGCCTCTTCTGCGAGTTTGTTGGTTTTTGCCTTTATCTAAATACAAATGCGATCTGGCTTGTGTAAAGACTGTCCATTGTATTTGATGAGTATATTTACCTTATGCGGAATGATTTGATCGTAAACAAGTGTGTAGATTAGGCTTTTATCAGCATTGGACTCTAACTTAGTTATTTTTTAATGGAACTGTGAGTGAGTGAGCAATACTCTGATGATAAGACGTTTGCTTTAGATCTTTATTGTTTTGAAATCTTACCATCTTTCATCATCGTTACATCGTCATAATACAGTTTTTTCCTTTCTATCATTTCCATTGATTATCTATTTATATAAAGTATAAATGTAAGTTGTTTTTTTTCTCTCCAATTTTCCGTAGTGCTAAATAGTGTTTGTTTGTGTCTAATGTGTGTGTGTGTGTGTCTAGTCATTGTTATTTCCATAGTATATTTCATCAACTGTTTATCACTTATCGGTTTACTCAGTGTATATCCTATTTTTGTTGTATTCTGCTTTGAAAAATGTATTACAATAGATGTATTAAATGATGAAATTGTTCTATAATTGGTTATGTCAATAGTAGACTATCATCCTGCATGTGAAATGAGTTTATCATGTGTTCACCTCCATTTAGTCGTTAATTTTTTTTGCAAAATATAATTTGATTACACCCCCTCCCAACAGCTATCTCTCTTTCTTTTGTATAACTCTCTTGTTATTTTTTCGATAACAGATATTAAATTTACAATCATTGGACGTTGATGCAATTCTGTCACAATTTTGGAAGTGATATGTGATTGGTTTTCTGATGCAAACAATTTGGCAACATTGTTCCCAGTGATGATCATGTCTCAATCAATGTCCGTTTGATATGAACAGTTGTTAACGTTATGGTTGTTGTTCCCTTTGTATTGCTAGCCTTGTTTATACATCGATCTATGAAAAAATAACACTATAGAAGCAGCCAGGTCGTTAGATGGATACACATATGAAGTGACCATGGCAGAATGACAGCCATGATGACGAAATGGTGATAATTTTTTTCCTATCATATTTTATTTCATTTGACAAAATTGACGCCTGAAACGTTGTTCCAATGTTTTGGAAACGAGACGGAAGATCATGTTCCTTTCAATACACATTTCAATTGACTATGTTTTTTCTTCATACCATTCACCAAGTCAAAGTTTCGTGAACAATGTCAGTGCAAGTGAGCTCTGACTAATCGGTGGGAGTCCTAGATCCTGGGTGTGTGGCAGGTGATCGAGACATTTATCATATCAACGAGCAGTCGCCATCTGCCATTAGATGTGATATCCGTGCAAGGCGTGAACTCTTAGACTCTTTCACTACGGACGTCACATCATATGTGAAGTGATTCGCAGATTCACTTCGAGAATTTGTGCTGATCACGCCTATGAAAGCACGTCAGTGAGCTGACCGTGCACTTCTTTTGTTGAGGTCAGTGTGAAGATCCCCAACACAAGACACGTGTTCTCAGTACCGATATCGAGTCAGTGAGTGGATACGCTATGAAATACACTACTTGACAATCCAGGGAGACGTGTCTTTTAAGCTGACTTAGTAGGAGAATTCGTTCATAAGTCGAGATCACCCGTTAACCAGAATGGACGCCACAATCCCGAACCTACACAACATGTCACGTAGCCAACCTGAATTCAAGTATACAGGCCGCTTCCACTTTCCCATAACACATCCAATGCTAGACCTGGATATTCCTACAATATATGAAGCACTGTTATTCTCTTAAATACGTTTCTATTTCCTCACCCATAATAACAAATCTCCAACCGATGCAAGACGCCGGGAACACCGAAGCTTTCAAAATACTTGATCATCCGACAAGAAACCATAGTCTAGACATACTGATCCATTCGGAGTTTGACAAGCCAGTGTTCAAAATTTCTCTTGTCACTTTCCGGAGTTCTGATGGGAATGGTCCGGACAACGTTATGCAAACCCTCGTGTCCTCCTATACATTTACGCCGACTACCGCTTCACAAAATTCCCATACACAGTATGAGATTAAATAACTTTTATATTTAAAAAATAAATTCTTTCTATGTACAAAAATCTGACTTGTCAACTCAGGCCCCGCTTCCACTAAATTTCTCGATGATCCGTCGAGTTGATACTGCGTAGAACGATTAATCCCCCAGGAATTTTGATTTAATCTCACTAAGTGCAAGTTTCGTGAACAATGTCAGTGCAAGTGAGCTCTGACTAATCGGTGGGAGTCCTAGATCCTGGGTGTGTGGCAGGTGATCGAGACATTTATCATATCAACGAGCAGTCGCCATCTGCCATTAGATGTGATATCCGTGCAAGGCGTGAACTCTTAGACTCTTTCACTACGGACGTCACATCATATGTGAAGTGATTCGCAGATTCACTTCGAGAATTTGTGCTGATCACGCCTATGAAAGCACGTCAGTGAGCTGACCGTGCACTTCTTCTGTTGAGGTCAGTGTGAAGATCCCCAACACAAGACACGTGTTCTCAGTACCGATATCGAGTCAGTGAGTGGATACGCTATGAAATACACTACTTGACAATCCAGGGAGACGTGTCTTTTAAGCTGACTTAGTAGGAGAATTCGTTCATAAGTCGAGATCACCCGTTAACCAGAATGGACGCCACAATCCCGAACCTACACAACATGTCACGTAGCCAACCTGAATTCAAGTATACAGGCCGCTTCCACTTTCCCATAACACATCCAATGCTAGACCTGGATATTCCTACAATATATGAAGCACTGTTATTCTCTTAAATACGTTTCTATTTCCTCACCCATAATAACAAATCTCCAACCGATGCAAGACGCCGGGAACACCGAAGCTTTCAAAATACTTGATCATCCGACAAGAAACCATAGTCTAGACATACTGATCCATTCGGAGTTTGACAAGCCAGTGTTCAAAATTTCTCTTGTCACTTTCCGGAGTTCTGATGGGAATGGTCCGGACAACGTTATGCAAACCCTCGTGTCCTCCTATACATTTACGCCGACTACCGCTTCACAAAATTCCCATACACAGTATGAGATTAAATAACTTTTATATTTAAAAAATAAATTCTTTCTATGTACAAAAATCTGACTTGTCAACTCAGGCCCCGCTTCCACTAAATTTCTCGATGATCCGTCGAGTTGATACTGCGTAGAACGATTAATCCCCCAGGAATTTTGATTTAATCTCACTAAGTGCAAGTTTCGTGAACAATGTCAGTGCAAGTGAGCTCTGACTAATCGGTGGGAGTCCTAGATCCTGGGTGTGTGGCAGGTGATCGAGACATTTATCATATCAACGAGCAGTCGCCATCTGCCATTAGATGTGATATCCGTGCAAGGCGTGAACTCTTAGACTCTTTCACTACGGACGTCACATCATATGTGAAGTGATTCGCAGATTCACTTCGAGAATTTGTGCTGATCACGCCTATGAAAGCACGTCAGTGAGCTGACCGTGCACTTCTTCTGTTGAGGTCAGTGTGAAGATCCCCAACACAAGACACGTGTTCTCAGTACCGATATCGAGTCAGTGAGTGGATACGCTATGAAATACACTACTTGACAATCCAGGGAGACGTGTCTTTTAAGCTGACTTAGTAGGAGAATTCGTTCATAAGTCGAGATCACCCGTTAACCAGAATGGACGCCACAATCCCGAACCTACACAACATGTCACGTAGCCAACCTGAATTCAAGTATACAGGCCGCTTCCACTTTCCCATAACACATCCAATGCTAGACCTGGATATTCCTACAATATATGAAGCACTGTTATTCTCTTAAATACGTTTCTATTTCCTCACCCATAATAACAAATCTCCAACCGATGCAAGACGCCGGGAACACCGAAGCTTTCAAAATACTTGATCATCCGACAAGAAACCATAGTCTAGACATACTGATCCATTCGGAGTTTGACAAGCCAGTGTTCAAAATTTCTCTTGTCACTTTCCGGAGTTCTGATGGGAATGGTCCGGACAACGTTATGCAAACCCTCGTGTCCTCCTATACATTTACGCCGACTACTGCTTCACAAAATTCCCATACACAGTATGAGATTAAATAACTTTTATATTTAAAAAATAAATTCTTTCTATGTACAAAAATCTGACTTGTCAACTCAGGCCCCGCTTCCACTAAATTTCTCGATGATCCGTCGAGTTGATACTGCGTAGAACGATTAATCCCCCAGGAATTTTGATTTAATCTCACTAAGTGCAAGTTTCGTGAACAATGTCAGTGCAAGTGAGCTCTGACTAATCGGTGGGAGTCCTAGATCCTGGGTGTGTGGCAGGTGATCGAGACATTTATCATATCAACGAGCAGTCGCCATCTGCCATTAGATGTGATATCCGTGCAAGGCGTGAACTCTTAGACTCTTTCACTACGGACGTCACATCATATGTGAAGTGATTCGCAGATTCACTTCGAGAATTTGTGCTGATCACGCCTATGAAAGCACGTCAGTGAGCTGACCGTGCACTTCTTCTGTTGACGTCAGTGTGAAGATCCCCAACACAAGACACGTGTTCTCAGTACCGATATCGAGTCAGTGAGTGGATACGCTATGAAATACACTACTTGACAATCCAGGGAGACGTGTCTTTTAAGCTGACTTAGTAGGAGAATTCGTTCATAAGTCGAGATCACCCGTTAACCAGAATGGACGCCACAATCCCGAACCTACACAACATGTCACGTAGCCAACCTGAATTCAAGTATACAGGCCGCTTCCACTTTCCCATAACACATCCAATGCTAGACCTGGATATTCCTACAATATATGAAGCACTGTTATTCTCTTAAATACGTTTCTATTTCCTCACCCATAATAACAAATCTCCAACCGATGCAAGACGCCGGGAACACCGAAGCTTTCAAAATACTTGATCATCCGACAAGAAACCATAGTCTAGACATACTGATCCATTCGGAGTTTGACAAGCCAGTGTTCAAAATTTCTCTTGTCACTTTCCGGAGTTCTGATGGGAATGGTCCGGACAACGTTATGCAAACCCTCGTGTCCTCCTATACATTTACGCCGACTACCGCTCCACAAAATTCCCATACACAGTATGAGATTAAATAACTTTTATATTTAAAAAATAAATTCTTTCTATGTACAAAAATCTGACTTGTCAACTCAGGCCCCGCTTCCACTAAATTTCTCGATGATCCGTCGAGTTGATACTGCGTAGAACGATTAATCCCCCAGGAATTTTGATTTAATCTCACTAAGTGCAAGTTTCGTGAACAATGTCAGTGCAAGTGAGCTCTGACTAATCGGTGGGAGTCCTAGATCCTGGGTGTGTGGCAGGTGATCGAGACATTTATCATATCAACGAGCAGTCGCCATCTGCCATTAGATGTGATATCCGTGCAAGGCGTGAACTCTTAGACTCTTTCACTACGGACGTCACATCATATGTGAAGTGATTCGCAGATTCACTTCGAGAATTTGTGCTGATCACGCCTATGAAAGCACGTCAGTGAGCTGACCGTGCACTTCTTCTGTTGACGTCAGTGTGAAGATCTTCAACACAAGACACGTGTTCTCAGTACCGATATCGAGTCAGTGAGTGGATACGCTATGAAATACACTACTTGACAATCCAGGGAGACGTGTCTTTTAAGCTGACTTAGTAGGAGAATTCGTTCATAAGTCGAGATCACCCGTTAACCAGAATGGACGCCACAATCCCGAACCTACACAACATGTCACGTAGCCAACCTGAATTCAAGTATACAGGCCGCTTCCACTTTCCCATAACACATCCAATGCTAGACCTGGATATTCCTACAATATATGAAGCACTGTTATTCTCTTAAATACGTTTCTATTTCCTCACCCATAATAACAAATCTCCAACCGATGCAAGACGCCGGGAACACCGAAGCTTTCAAAATACTTGATCATCCGACAAGAAACCATAGTCTAGACATACTGATCCATTCGGAGTTTGACAAGCCAGTGTTCAAAATTTCTCTTGTCACTTTCCGGAGTTCTGATGGGAATGGTCCGGACAACGTTATGCAAACCCTCGTGTCCTCCTATACATTTACGCCGACTACTGCTCCACAAAATTCCCATACACAGTATGAGATTAAATAACTTTTATATTTAAAAAATAAATTCTTTCTATGTACAAAAATCTGACTTGTCAACTCAGGCCCCGCTTCCACTAAATTTCTCGATGATCCGTCGAGTTGATACTGCGTAGAATGAATGATCTCCAGCGAATTTTGATTTTGTTGGGTCATGAGCATAGGTGGCTCCAAACTGTCTTCGTATCCATCCTTTCCAGTGGCTCCAGTGAATCTTCTGATATTGCGAACTCTTTACAAATGAAGTCTTTGCATAGATTATTCGAGGAGAAGCCAGCTAGGTTTGAGATGAAAGAGAGGCTTATAGTGGGACGGAAACTAAAAATAGCAGGGACATTCGGTGAAAATAATTTTGAAATAACGAAAGAAATGACATCGTAATTGGGAGAAGGATTACAAAATGAAGAAGTGTGGGTAGTGGAAGAATCCATACATATTAAAGGAATACGTCGGAGGCGCGGAGAATGTTCACGAAAACGACAATTGGAGTTGAAGGTAAGCATAAAAAAATCAAAATCATAAATACATAGGGAAAGAGTAACATGATGTGACATTTTTACATTACAAGAGGCATAGGAAAATGTGATATGTGAAATGAAAAGTAACATTATTTTATTATTATTAAATTAACTTTTAATTCACTGTAACAGGTAAAAATACAAACATACACATGGATAAAGCAGGAATTTTTGTGGAACATGGATAATTTGGCACAAAAGGTGATATACTACGGAGATGCCCGTCTTCAGCATCAAATCAATGTGAAGCTAGTGCAACTGAAACTGCAACTTCGTAAAACAGACTACTCAAACTATTAGTGATAATATTATGAAAACAAAGTTAACACCATCAACGTTGGTTCAGCCAGTTGGAAATAAAACCCTCAAATATGAATATACCTTTAAAACCGTCGATCGCTGTCGGGATACCACATCTGATTTAGCGCAATCGAAAAAGCAGCGAAAAAAATTCACGATGGTCGACATAAAACATACCCATGTATTTATTTCATTCAGTGATTTAGGGACGCTAATATTCAAGAAATAATGAAAACTATCCAGCTACACCAGTAAGTAGCTGTCCCTAATACGGTGAAATAATACCGTTTACTCCAACTGGCTTGAATTATGGAAACCTCAGACTGAAGGATGGACAATAATAAGCAGTGGGATAATATTCAGATAATGTTGAGAAGCAATCGTCGCCGATGTAAACTTCTGGCGTTATAACATGTTGCTATCAGACTAACTAACAACAGTGTGTCAGGGAAAGTACTACCAAATGGAATTAAAACCAATGAACAAACAAAAAGAGTCAAAACAACTGTTAACCTTTGCAGAAGCAGCTTGAATCTACAAATATAATTTCTCAAGTCGCTACTTTATTCGGAACCAAACACAAAGACGTTTGTGTTAAATCAAAGCAAGAATGGCAAAACAATGTGCGCTGATTTAGAATAACATCCTGTGCTGTTGTAGTTATGATAATTCCCGACCGATAGCTGCTACCTTGACGTGGTGGTTGGGTTTGCACATCGCGATGACCCAACAAGCTACGCTAGCTGGAATCAATGTTCCTGCAGGTCCTGCCATGCCAGGAAGGTTGTTAGGATAGCGATGAGACTAAAAGCAGTCACCGGCATTGTGTAAGAATCGTTCTTACACTATGCTGGGGCTCTGAGGGCAAAGTCGTACTGCTGGGGAACAAGGGTGTAACAGCAGTGAGGTGTTTCCCTCAGATGATCAGCAATGCTGTCTCTCCACTTTGGAGAGAGGAGGTTAGAAAAGGTCGACCCCAAATTTGTGCATCCCGACCTACCCTACCGGTGGTTTACTACTATGGCACCAATCCCAGAAACCATTTCATACAGGCCGCGTGTGACCGGCCTCAAGCAGTTGTCCCCTGGGCTCTGTGGTCAAGCAAAACTCTTTCTGCCCACTACCACGGTGTGGGTAGCCGGGAAGTAACAACCGCCCACACACTTCCAAAAGCACACGAAGCCTTCCTGAGCATCATTCCCCCTCACTCACATCATCTCTCTCATCTTGCCTCTCTACTACAGTTAGTACCATTCTGCAGGTTAATGAGTCATCTTCCCTTCACTCTGTGGCTACGAACAACGGTGAGAGCCATAGAAACACCACAGACAGCCTTTTAAAGCCACGTCACCAACTTCATATAGGAGCTTTTAACGTCAGGATCCTCTGCCAAATCGGACAACAGGTATCATTAACAAGGACTCTAGAATCTAGAGTCATGGATGTATGTTGTGTTTCGGAGACACGCATACAAGACCCGAGTTTGATCATTCATTTAACCTCACCCAGTCAACAAGGTGAATCTGAAAAATTCACTTTAAGGGTGTCAGGAGACCCCTCAGCTAGCTCGCGAGGACTCACAGATGTAGGGACAGCACTGAGTGTTAGGGCGGAAAAATGACTTCTTGACTGGATCCCAGTAGATAGTCGTATGTGTGCGGTCCGTCTGAATGGGTCCGTTACAAGAAGGAAAGACGGTGCTACCCGTCGTTGCCTTTTCGTAGTCTCCGCTCACACCCCAACAGACTGCAGTTCGGGTGAGCTAAAAGATGACTTCTACCTGAAACTGTCTAATTTGCTGCAAAAAGCAAAACGTTTGGATATAGTGGTCTTAGCAGGCAACTTCAATACCCAAGTAGGGAAGTTATACCACATTCAGAAGTATGTAGGTGGTATGAATGGAGTTCCCCGCCGAAGAACCGACATTGATGGCTGTCTTCTACAGTTCTGCTCAGATAATCGTCTGTTCCTAGTCAACACTAACTTTAGGCATAAAGAGAGACATTGTGTAACCTGGGGACCTCCATCACCAAATCAACGCTGGACACAGATAGAACATATAGCCATAGGGTATCGTTGGCTAGGGTCAGTACGAGACTGTCAACCCTACTGGGATACGTGCGTAGATTCTGATCACGCTCTGGTTCGCGCACGTTTATGCTTACGACTAAATGGACATAAGAAATTGACGGCAGCAAAATAGTTACGTCCTTAACTAGATGGAGACACTGAGTCCTTATTTAAGGAAGAAATAGCGAAACGAGTTTCTGAGGTCGACAGCAGGACTTCCCCTGAGGTAGCCTGTCACAACATACAGTAAGCTGTAGGCACAACTGTGAAAGCTGTTAATAAGCTGAAACCGAAAGTCAGTAAGAGCCATTGGATCTCCACCGCCTCATCCGAACTGATTGACGCAAGAGAACTGATCCCGGCGAGCTCCGATTATGATGAGGAGCGAAAGGTACTCAAACGAAAACTAACAAAGTGTTCGCAACAACCGTGAACAGTGGTGGGTGACAAAAGCGAAAGAGATGGAAAAAGCATCGGCGATAGGCAACACTAGGCAACTTTTTAGACTCATCAGAGGGCATATCATAAGTGAAACAATCTCGGAAAAAATGGCACCACATTTAGCTCCCAGGATAGACAACCGGAACGCTGGAAAGAGCATTATGAGGAGCAGTTTAATTGACCCACAGCCACGCTCAACCTGCCGAACATCCAACACCTCCCTGAATGGGATACAGACACAGATCCTCCGTCCATGACTGAGGTTACTAAAGCTGTCACCAATCTGAAACAAGGCAAAGCAGCGGGACCTGATGGAATGGCTCCAGGAGTATTTAAGTACGGTGGAGACAGTTTACTGTCTGCATTAACTGAGGTACTAGGCAGCGTCTGGGAATCAGAGGAAGTCCCATCAGGTTGGTGTAAGTCACTGATTTTCCCCATACACAAGAAGGGAGACAAGTCTTCCTGTGATAATCACAGAAGGATTAGCTTGACTAATATAGTATCTAAAGTCTTAGGCTCAATAATCATGCGTAAACTAAGTGGTGTTCGGGAGGCACAAACACGAGAGAGCCAGACAGGCTTTAGACCAGGAAGAGGGTGTATTGATCATATCTTCACCATCCGACAGATTCTAGAGCATAGGCATTCTTACCGGCGTCCAACAATCATTATATTTCTTGACTTAAAGGCGGAATTCGATTCTGTCGACCGACAGGTTCTCTGGCGATGCTTGACCGTAAAGGGAATTCCGAGGAAATACATTGCACTAATCAGGACACTCACTCTACTCGTACTCATGCAGCTAGGTGAGGGCTTACGGCGAGTTATCATATGAACTGGTGACGACTAGTGGTGTCCGTCAAGGATGCCCATTATCTCCTTTTCTATTCAACTTCATCATAGATGTACTAATGGACTTAACCCTAAGTGACTTCAGCGACTCAGGGATGGACTTGCTACCAGGGAATAATCTCGTTGACTTAGAGTATGCAGACGATTTAGTCCTACTAGGCAAGGACGCTGACAAAATGCAAAGTCTTTTGAACACCTTGAGCTGCAATCTGCGAATGTTTGGCATGCGATTCGCTCATGCCAAATCTAAGATGATGTTACAGGACTGGACTACACCGACTCCTAGCTTAGAAATAGGGAGTGAAGTGGAAGATTAGGTTGACCACTTCACTTATTCGGGAAGTACCATAAGCCCCAACGGGTTGATCTCTGACGAAATCTCAGCACAGATACAGAGGGCTAATTTCACAACAGTTAGTTTAATCCAGCCACGTAGGAAGGTGCAGACTTCCTGGTTGGGGTCCTCGGGACGGTAAAAAAACCAATGGCTGGAGGCAATCGGTGATATGGCTCAAAATCATTCTCGATGACGGAGCAGATGCATTCACTCCTTGTGACTTATGATTCACAGTGAAACTATATTGTTCTTCGTTATTACTATTCCTTGGTCTCACACCTCTGTTTACTGTCTCTATTATGCATTTCTTCTACTTTCTTCTCTTCCTTTGCGTGTTACATGGAGTGTGGCGACTTGAACTGATGCACATCGGTGCAAAGTTTTCTATGTCGAAAACAGACAGACAGTTATGATAATTAACACAACTAACAGGCATAAAACTTTAACTACCCGGATTGTGCATGCCTCCTAAAAAATGAAAATAATACATACTAAGAGGACCGATAATGACTCTACCTATAAAAATCATAATATAACTTTGAATCAGAACAACGTACACTTTGAAGACGAGCTTGATAACTTCCCTTCTTTCGCGATCAATAAACCAGTTTACTACCTGTTTGCATCGCAAAGGAGGCTGCTGCTCCTCATCGGCTGGATACAAAAGTTTAAAAAACCGGTGATAATTATTCAAGGACCACGCAGATCGTAGTTTTAAGGCAAACGCCACACAAGGATTTGTTTTGTGAGTGGGTCGCAAACCTGCCATAATGGTGTTGATACCTGATGGAACCAAATGAAAGAGATAGAAAAAGGACTAGCAACAAAAGAAACATATAATTTCCTGATTAAAAACCAAGCGGTACGAAAAAACTGTTGCTATTACATGAGGTGATTAACAACATAAAGTTAATCATTACAGCTGGAAATAATCTAATATTATGACATTTAATCTACCTGCAATAATTATGTTTAAGGTGGACCTTATACCCTTCTAATATATATTATCCGACGGACCACAAATTGAGTTTTAAAGCAACTTGTGTAGACGTACTGCTTAAAATAAAGCCATATCACATACTTCCTTACACACCTACACCTACACTGGAACTTTTAATTCCGGTAGCTTAATACTGTTGGATAAAAATGTGAAATAACCTTGACTACACTTATTTAAAGGGAAATATATCCCAATTTGATTATACAGACTTATGAACAATGACTAGGGAGAATATGAAAACAAGAGCAGAATTCATTGCCTACTATCTTGTCATAACACCCAATGAATAAGATTCGACAACAGTAGGTGTAGCTCGATAATTTGGCTGCACAGAAAACCTCAAGAATCGAAAATCCCTTATGAAAACCAACTGCTTTGGCCTGGGCGCCCGGGCAGTATCTCAACCCTCATACATTAAATGAAATGAAGCAACAAATTTTCAGTGAAACCTATCGCGCACTAGTAGCAATGCTCTCAAGCAATGATGTCTCAAATGACACATCTAGTTCCAACCTTGGCTTTATTTTCATACATAGAGTACTGTATTTTACCTTTGCTAACCTTGACGTCTTCAACATAGTCGGCCTTTCGGTTTTGTCTGAATTCTAAGCTTATCTATGCCGTTTCCAGAAGTTAGTTGAGTAGCCTTCAAAATGGTTGTCCCCAGTGCGACACCTAACGTATATCCTGATACCACATGCAGCGTTCAAGTTGGCCACCTACAATGTTCAGACACTGATGCAAATCGGAAAATAGGCAGGGTTGGTAAGAAAACTGGAAAGCATCGCAATCTACGTCTGCTGCTTATCGGAGACCCGCATTCAAGGTCCCAGTGAAGTGCTTCCAATATCTCCTCCATCTGAAAGTTCAAGTAGTATATACCACCTGCACTTATCCGGGGACCTGTAGTGTCAGTGTCGCACTAAACTCTAGAGCTGAAGCTGCATTACTCGACTGGATCCCTATAAACAGTGGTTTATGTGCTGTGAGGCTGGAAGGTTATGCGGAAGTTAGGAGTGGTAGGCCAGATAGGTGGTGCCTATTTGTTGTCTCTCCCTATGCACCAACGGATTACAGCACGAAGGCAAATAAGGATGAGTTTTACTACAAACTAAGTGACCTGAAACAGGTGCGTAGGATATCATAGTGCTGTCTGGGGACTTGAATGCACAGGTCAGGCATCTAGGTGGTCTGTGGGTTTTACATGGTTGCAGGTCAGATAATGGGAACCGTCTTCTGCAGCTTTGCTCACAGCACAATCAATTTCTAGCCAGTAACAACGTCTGGTACAGCCTTCACTGTAGCGCTACCCGGTGGTGTCCTTTCTCTGAGAATCAAGCTTGGACTCAGACTGATCATATTGCTGTCAGTTTCTGGTGGCAAAGATGCATATAAGACCGCCGCTTCTTCTGGAGCACATGCCTGGACTTCGATCATGCGTTAGTGTGCCAGGTTCGTCCTGCGATTTGGTGGCGTTAGTAAATGCATCGTCTAAACGTTGATGTGAGCAAACTAGTAGCACCTGCTACTTCTCTGAAATACCAGAATGAGTTACAATCAAGGCTCGCTGGCAACCCCTTAAAGCAGTACAGATGAATATTGGCCTTATCTGCAAGGTGCCATGCAAACGGCGAGTGACATGGAGTCAGCTGCTGCATCTGGCAACAGTCGGAAGCTGTCTCAGCTTATCCAAGCCACCGTCAGCAAAAAACAAGGTATCAGTGAGACGGTCTGTGAGGCAGATGGGCAGAGCACTTTGAAACAGTTTAGCTGGCCATGAGCTACAGCATCCACTGTCACTAGCTCGTGTTCCTTGGTCAGTTAGTACAGACCTAACAATCGAAGCGGAGGTGCGTAAGGAACTCCAAATACTGAAACGCCTTCAGACACTTAGCCCAGAAAATCTAACCCCTGCTATTTTAAGAGATTGTGGCGAGATTCTCGTAATTGGGAGTGTGCACCATCAATGCGGAACGAAACCATTACCGTCCAATCTTTAAAAAGGGTCGATGTAATTTGTGTGACAATCACAGGGGTATCAGTCTGCTACCAGTCGCGTCTAAAATATTGGCAGCTGTCTTGCTTCGCAGGCTGTGAAAAATACGTGAGGGATTGATTCGCGAAGAGCAGGCTGGGTTTCCTTCAGGTCGTGTATGCATTGATCATGTGTTCACCCTTCGTCAGTTGTTGGAACACCGCCACACGTATTGCAGGCCAACGATCGTTGTGTTTCGTGATATTAGGGCTGCCTTCGATTCGTTGGACAGAACTGTGCTCTGGAACTGTCTGTTAGAGAGAGGTGTACCTGAGAAATTTGTTAACATCTTGAAAGCCCTATACGGAAACACCTCGAGTAGAGTGAGGGCATACAACCAACTATCATCACTGTTCCCAACCAACAGTGGGGTTAGACAGGGTTGCTCAATCTCTCTATTTCTCTGTAACTTTGCCATCGATGACATTCTGTGGTCAGCTCCGAAGGACGTGCATGAAGGTGGTGTAGATATACTCCCTGGATAGAATTTTCGACCTTGAGTATGCAGACGATATCGTCTTACTGTGTGCGATAGCACGCAGGCTGTCCAAATCGCACTTAATCAGTTGGCGATCAGCGTCTGTAAGTATGGTGTGTGCTTTGCGCTGTCTAAGCACAAAGTGCTGTTACAAGATTGACAGAAACCTGTACCTGCACTCACTCTGACAGGTGAACCGCTTGAAGTCGTTGATAAGTTCGTGTATCTGGGTAGTTGTGTAAGTGCTGGCTGAGGGTGACGCATGAGGACACACATCAACTTGAGCCACCTCTGGTGCCGTTACTCTGGCTGTCAAAGGTCGGGTATACAATGCTTCGGTGAGGGCTATCTTGCTCTACGCCTGCGAAACCTGGCCTTTCCGAGCTGAGGATGTGCGGCGACTCTGCGTGTTCGATCATCGCTGTCTTCGCAGGATTGCTTGCGTTCAATGGCACCATCGCGTGAGTAATTCTGAGATTCGGCAGCGTGTGTTTGAACACAGTGGAGATCACCATTCATTGAGTGTCGTCATCTGGAAACACCGGCTCCGGTTGCTTGGACATGTGCTGCTAATGTAAACTCCGTACAGCTTCCGTACAGGTCTCTATTCGCCAGTCTTGGGACGGGGTGGAAAAGGCGGAGAGGTAGTCAGTGCATGACGTGGCGTCGAGGGATGAAGGATATTTGTACTAGGTTAGCATCGGTTGTTGCGTCACGACTCCCTGGTTGGAGTCCGAGAGTTAGCTCGAAACATTATCGGATATGGCCAAGAATCGTAATCGATGGCGCTGCAATTTCCTTGTTTCTTCCCTTCCCGATGACAGTTGACGAATACTGTTTGAACTTGTTAAACACGACTGTTTTACTTCCTGATGAAGTTCTTTATCCATTCTCCGCCCATATTTTTACTTTTAATCTCTGTTGCTTTATTATTATTGTATGGTACTTGGTGGTGTACCAAGTTTTTCTGCGTTTACATAATAATAATTATGTTGCGACATTAAGGAATCACGTTACAGCCAGGATACCAAAACGCATTATTCCCAGCTTTTACCAGAACACAGTCCAATAAATTTCCCCAAAACATCACATGCACATGATAACCTTGATTATACAACGGAGATTAAAAATACGCCGAGAAAAAAAAGCGTTTGCCTTCGACGGACACTAAAATGAAATACAATCAATTATAGAATCACAGAAAAGATTTTACTAAACTTACCTAAAATATCAACAGTGAAAATATAATAAAGAAGTCTATAAGCAGTAAACTCCAATAGTCTATCAGAGCCTAAACCCTCTTTGTGAAGTCGCAATAACTGGCTTTGACACTGATGAAATTCTTCGAAATCTCCGGCGTCTAAAGCTGCATCTGCATGTGCTTCATAAACAGACACAGCGAAGTCATCTTCAATGCCTTGCACCTAAAATAGAACAAAATGATTTGTTGAAAAACCTTCAAAGACTACTACGAACATCTCATTTAGGATATCTTGTTGGTATACCAACTATGCAGAGTATGAGAACGCCACGTCAAAAGGTTCCTAATTAGGTTTACGGCATACCTAGAAAGTAAATCAACAGAGATAATGAATGACCTGAATCAAAAACATAGGCCCTTACGTTTTTGACAAACGGAGATTAAACACAATGCGAGATATTACTCAAAATATCTCATAGGATGGTGACTCTCAAGGTCAGGAAACATTCACCAACCAACCAAATGTAAAACGTGCAGACCTTAAAGAAATAAACAATCTGAAGAACTAGTATAAAACTCCCGAATGATGATACTATTTAAAAAATCAAATAAACAATGCCTGATGTTCACTAAGTATATAACTCTGCACTAAACCTTCCAGTTTCATAATGTTATGTTAAATTCGTCTTTTTTCATTATATAATTTCCAAATTCCAGTTAGCTATTTTTATCTCCAGTGCAAGACGAGTGTTGATATACACTAGGTGTTGCATATCATAGCGATATAAGAAATTGCCTATATATATATATATCACTCGCTAAGGCATCACTCCATGAAAATCCAAATGGGAAGCGACGAGTGGCGCATCCGCGGGTGACATGGAGCAGATCATGCGAGGAGATGAGATATTATGGGGCAATCGTGCACCCAGTTGAAGATGGCAGAAAATAGAAGAAAGTGGAGATAAGTTGTTGGAGCCGTGTGTTTCGCTCGGAACTCAAGGGAATAATAATGAAAATAATAGTTCCTCTAAATTAGCACTCATAGTTTGAGAGTGCTGTTTGTTGTTATTTACGTGAACATCAAGAGAATTTGGACTTCTCAGTATTTAGGGGTGCATGATAATCAGAAATCTTCAAAACCACGGTCTTTACTAATCACGACTACATGCTGTTTCTCACCTAACCTACTGAGTAAAGATTTATAGACAACATTAGGGGACAGACGTCCGTAAGAGACCAAATACATGACTAAGTTGCTTCTACCGATAACAAGACTATAAAAACAGAATTACTTACTATTAGATCCTGACGGATACTTTTGAATTGTTCACAAGCCCAGCTGTAATCGGCATTGGACTGCCACTTTTCTCTGACATTTTCTAGGGAAACTTTCAAAACAGATAGTGGTCTCACTTCCGATGGATCCGGAGCCTGTTAAAGAAAACCAGATTTTGTAGAAACATGAAAAATACTAAATTCATTTTATGCAAAATGATTTATTGTAATATTTTCCAACAACTTCCGAAATTTTATCTATCTGCATGACCAATGTGTGGAAATAAAATTCTGAAAACAAAACACCTTTTGAAGAGACACAGTCATTGGTATATGTGTAACATGAGCATCCGACAAATGTCTTGAAAAACCAAATCATAACATGAATAATGGTAAATTTCTAGACTGCGGCTTACGAACGTAACTGCTGAGAGATAAAAATCCAAATGATCGACTTGCTTTTTTAATAGTAGATGGAGTTAGCGTAGCAATGAATCACTGAGAACACGCATTTACTCCAGTGTCCTCCTAATTTTCCTAATGAAATGCATTTTCTATTTGATTGGATACAAAACTCTCAATTTTCTACGATTAAATCTCAAACAAACAAATGAATGAGTTGCATAAGAGCGAAGCCATTTAAGACGTCATATTTTGAAACACTGTGAGACGTTTATTAAAGATTCTTAAGTACTTACAAATGGATGGTTATCACATGTCAAGTATGCGCATACACCAGTGCGTAAAAAAATGGTTAGGTGACTGAGTTGCACAATATATTTTATTAAAAAGAGAAGTGAATGAACAACCTGATAACACGATGAATCATTTCAAGAGGGCTATGTTGTTTGATCTCGGAGTCCTGAGAATACCAAATGACTAATACTGACACTAAGACATTTTATTAACCAATGCCATTTTAACAAGGCTGTCTATAACCGGTTCCTGAGATGCCATTACTCACTGAGGGTGGTAGATTGATAGGCAAAATATGCGCTGGTCACTTCAGTTAATTAACCTACTTTTCTACCTAGCGACTCACATTATGGGTAAATTTTATTTTTATAGTCTTACAGTGTTATACAGTAATATTTATTGATGACTTTTCGAGCACAATTTATTGCTCGTAATCATATCATATACTCTACCACAGTGCACAAATTCTATTCCTATATCAACGATACATATGGTCTTCCTGCTTGGAAGCTTATCAACAAACTTTGTCATAAAAACCAAATGAAGTTACCAAAGGTCTTTACCTTTTAAGACTATGTTGTATTAAAACAAAGCATTAGCGAGCAAGACTGTTGCACACAGATGCATTCTTCAGTTATCAAGAATTATGCGACTGGGCATTTCGTATTTGTATTGTGACCATGCCAACAACCACTTCACTGATAAACAACACAACTAAGCGTGGAGCCACTAAAGTTTATTGTTGAGAACAATTTTAAACCATGTCACAAACAGTCTACAACCATTACTTCCTTAGTGAACCGAAAACTCCAGTAAAACAATATGTACCTCCACAGGTGACTCAAAACACCAGTTGCATGTAGTTTAAATTTTTTGAAAAAATGTCTAGGAGTCTTTTATGGTATTGCGCATCAATTATTATAAGGACTACAGTTCTGACAACCCGGGTTCGATTCCCAGCCGGCGCAATTCCACACTTTGTCTGGGTAACTACAATGGAGAATATTTGGTAATTCCACTTCAAAAAATAAATTGAAAACGATAGTTTTAACAATAACCCCGTTTAAAAGACTTAGTGCCCAAACTTACTCGGGTTAGTCTTAAAAATTGCTTTTCTACTTCCTGCATAGTACCAACAATTTGACAACTGCCAAAATCAGCAATCAAGTCATCATGTTCGTCAGTGTAAGTGGAAAGTAGTTGGCTAGTAGTCCGTGCAATAGAACCCGATCCGACCGCATGCGGTTCAGGAAGATGATCTTTAAATCGACTAGCTCGTTGTGATAAACGAGATTCAGTTTGAGTAGTATGTTTTGAAGTAGCACTTCCATGTTTGCCACGCCAGTTGCCCCGCCCGCGACCTCTTGAGACTGTCCTGTCCTGACTTGAGATGTTAAAGTCAGCACTTGAATCAGCACTAGATTGAGTGCCACCGCGTTTTCGTTGTCCACTCTTGGATTTTCCTCTTGTGTCAGGTAGTGGTCTACTAAAACAGGAAGATACGTAGATACGAAGATAGGTGGACAGAGAGCATAACATAAATATAACACAAGCGTTTCTATACACAGATATTCTGTTGCTTTGAAAAAAGTGCCAATCTAAAATGACAACAATTAATTTCCTTCGCCAAGAAAGCATATATGGTATTTCTAGAATACAATTTCGACTGTGATTATGCAATATACATGCACATACCGTATGCCGAAATATGACTAATTTCTGTTCATAATGCACCTGAGAATTTCTGCTGATTGCGTGTTCACTAACAAGCTGAGTTCCAATCGACTGTTTTGGTCGCTGAATGTAGACATTTAATGAGACTGAATAGTTAACCTCATTTTTGAAACCTATGACGGTTAGAAAAATAAAGAGATGAGCTGAATTATTTCACTCGCACAGAACGGAGTAGAACTGTATGGGTTTTGCAGGAAATATGTTATCCTGCTTAAAATATTGCTGGTTAAATGAATGTCCTAATGTTATCTAGTAATTACTACACGTTATGTCTACACATAACGTACAGGGACAGATAAAGAGAGGAGCATATTCAGGGCGTATGAAAAAGGTGAAATTATTAACAAAGGCCACTAAGACAATTTTCGAACCATATAGGCTAGAACTTTTGAACACCAACTAACTCAAGAATTCCTTCAGAAAGTTTCTTGGAACTTGACTGATACTTTTATCCATGAAGCGATGTTGCTTATAACACAATATGGAAATCGATTTAGCGGATAATCACATGCTTCAAAATACTACAAATAAATTCCTAGTAATTCCTAGTGATTTACTCACTAGTAGTAGGGTACTTCACAATATGGTGATCAACACCAAAATTATATTAGTATTTAATTTTCGAAGTTGGATTTGACCATGTTAAATAAACTACATCACGTGAATAATAATGTGCTGGGTATGTGCGATACCAAATATTATGCCCTGTTACTGGCTACATCCTTTACTTAAGTTCATCTTCCTACAATGTTTACGCTAGCTCGAAAACAAGAAGTCAAAGCAATTTATGGTAAATAGAAAGATGGAAGTGATTTACTGTCACTTCAAGTCAGAAATAGATTTAGTTTTAGTCAGCAGTGCTTTGAATCCGAAAACTAATGTTAAAACACTGTAGGAAGTATGTTTCGGTTGCAGTAGATAGCTTAGGTAGGGAATTTCAATGTGTTCAAAAACACTAAGGGACATAAATAAGCTCTTGAGATTCACGTAAATGTAAAGCCATGCCCAGTGAAAACTACTAGGTATGGACATATGAAATACAGTTAAAGCAAAAAGGGGAAACTACTAGCACACCTTTTCTGAGAATCCTTCACATTTTTCACTTTTTTCTGTGTTTGTCGAGAGCCAGAGTGCGATCGAGAATCCCGACGCCGGTAACGTTTTGTCCTGATACTACTTGAAGATGAGGAATGGTGAGAATTAGGTGATTTTGAGGTCGAACTAGACTTGGATCTATATGAACGCTTTCTTCGCCAGGCTTTCAAAGACTTGGTAACAGGTGAACGGCTAGGGGAGCGAGATTTTGAAGGCAACTTTTTGGATACTGATGTACTTTCAACAAATGAAGAAAACATATTGCGGCCACCTTTCGTCAAATGTCCGACAGGCAGACGTGGCGATACCCGTGGACCTGTTGGGCGAAGTCCACGAGGCCCAGGAAGTTGAACAGGTCGTACGACACTAGATAATTTTATTTAAAAATGCAAATATCTAAATAAATATAAGCACATTATGTACTGTTACAACTACAAAAGGATGTGCAAAGCCACAGGCGACCACAATTACCTAATTTCGGAAACAACTACTGAGGTGATGCAAACATAGTCTTCGAACTCAGGAACTACTGAACTTCCTCTTGATTAGGGAAAACTTGTCTTATGATTTAAAAGGGAAAAGCAACGTTGCATGCTAAGTTCTGTTTTTCAGCAAATAATCAGGACAGTGTATACCAACGTCAAGTACTAAACAAAGACTAGGAACTTATTCAGGAAAACCGAACTTCTGAACAGCATGTTAGACATACAAAAAACAAACACAAAGTGTAGGGAGAGTCGAAACGATACGAGAAAGAAATAAAAAATATGAGAAGGGAAGGCAAAATAAATTACCTGAGCGTTTATAAATCATTCGTATTGTAATTATTCGAAAAAGGACTAGTTTTCAACAATACGGAATTAAACTGTGATATTCTAGCAGAAAATAACATTGGAAAAACAACATTTTCCAATATAGCCTCACAGAACACCGATCCTTTTGCACACTGCCAAAACGAATGCATGCTGTGATGGATTCCGCGACTCCTTTGACCATCCCTAGGTTTCCACCCACTTTGCTATTTTAGGAACACTGATTTGATATTTGTAAGACAGACGTCAAACAACTTAACCGATCAGCTGACACTTATTGGTTACCTCGATTGCGATTCGCTCCCGCCAAATGCAAGATGATGTTACAGGACTGGACTACATCGACGCCTAGTTTAAAAATAGGAAGTGAAGTGGTAGAGCACGTTGATCACTTCACTTATTTGGGAAGTACCATCAGCCCCAACGGGCTGATCTCTGACGAAATCTCAGCACGAATACAAGGGGCTCGTTTCGCATTTGTTAGTTTACGCCGACTCTGGCGTAGACGAGATGTTCGACTATCGACCAAAGGGCGGGTGTACTGCTCATCAGTCCGCTCCGTCCTCCTTTATGGCCAGCTGTGAGACCTGGCCACTGAGAGTGGAAGACATGAAAAGACTAGCTGTCTTTGATCATAGGTGCCTGCGTTCTATTTCCAGTGTAAAGTGGTATAATAAGGTGAGCAACATGGAGGTTAGGCGTAGAGTTCTAGGTAAACAGGGGAAATCAATCGACGAAGTCGTGAAGCTACAAAGACTGAGATGGTTAGGACATGTGTTACGTATGCCAAGCCATCGCCTCCCTCGACCGAAGAGCAATGTTAGCGGATATAGGGTCAGGCTGGAAAAAAGCTAGCGGCGGTCAAACAAAAACTTGGCACCATTCAATGAAATCCACAACAGTTGGTCTAAGCCACGTAGAAAGGTGTAGACTTCCAGGCTAGGGTCCTCGGGACGGTAAAAATCTATGGTTGGAAACAATTGGTGACATGGCTCAAAACCGTTCTCAGTGGCGCAGATGCATCCACTCCCTGTGACTTATGATCTTCAATGAAACTGTTTTGTATTTCCTTATTACTCCTTTGTCTCACACCTCTGCTTACTGTTTCTATTATGCTTTTCTCGTACTTTCTTCTCTTGCTTCGCGTGCTACACGGAATGTGGCGACTTGAACTTCCGCACATTTGTGCAAAGTTCTATGTCGAAAACAGACAGACAGACAGACCTCGATTGTAAGATAGTGCATATAAAATATCTGAGTGCATAATGATAGGTCATCGACATACTATGGAACGTATCCGTCAACTTAAGAGCGAAATGTGTAGATGAAAATTAGTGTTTGTAAACTGTACAACTTCAGAATGTTCAGACTATACTAAATGTGTAGGGTTGAACTAACAAACTGTCTGTCTCTGTCTGGATTCAACATAGAACTTGGCACCGAAGTGCAGCAGTTCGAGTTGCCACGTTCCAAATAGCACACAGAGGTAGACAAGAAGATGAGTGGAGAGAATTAATAGAGTTTGACAAATATAGGAGTGAAACAGAATGGGTAATGGTAGAAAGGAATATGAAAGATTACAGAGATTGAATACATCTGCGCCATTGACAACGATTTTGAGCCATGTCACCTATTGTCTCCAGCCATTGATTCCTAGAGTCCCGAGGGCCCCAACCCGGGAGTCTGCATCTCCCTACCTGACTCAGTTTAACTGTCAAGAACTAACAAACTGCAAAAATCTACGAAATCTCCTCACTCTAAAAACCAGGCAGTTGAGGTGTGATGGCTTCATGTCTTATTTTACGTAGGGAATAATAATTTAGACCCAATGTGCACATGTAGATATTAATTCAAACACTTGAAAACGATCAAGTCAAAAATTCATATGACAATTTACGTCACAGCATATGAATACTTGTTAACGTGCTTTCCACTACACATACTAAGTAAATCCTGCTGAAACCACGATATAGTGGTTAACTGAAGTGAAAGGACATCCATATAAGACTAAACTGGGGCTAAAACCTTGCAGTTTGCGTAAGCCGGGCTGAATCATGAAAAAACACAGGTGTCTCATCAACCACTAGCTAGGTACTTCCAGATTTTTTACAGCAGATATTTTTTTTTATTTAGTGAACTTAACTTCATACTAACCTGAAAATTAAGGGATTTAAAACTTCTGGTTATCTAATAGGTGCCTGAAGTCGTCAGTGAATTGTTAGCCATTGATGCAGTAACACAAATAATAATACTGTCACTTACTTGACAGAATTAGGTCTTATTCCAAAAGACTTGCGAAAACTAGCAATTGCGCGACTGGGGATAGTCGGGATATTTTCGGTTTTCCAATCAACTTTGATATTATTTCGGAATATGTACTCTAGCTTCTCCTTCAAAATACGTTCCATCTGATCTTTTTCCTCGCTGGTATCAATGCTGCAAAATGCTCGCTGAACATACTCCCTATATAAATTTAGAAAAATAGATCAGATACTCGGGATACTTAAAAAATAGACTTTTTTGTGATAGGCTAAAGTTGAGGTTCTTACACTTAAAAATTTCCATAGTGCAACTCAACGGCATAGTCTAATTAAATCATGGAGCTTACCTTTCCATTTCTGAACGTAAAGCCTTAAGTAGTTCATTTGATAAGAACACACTAGATTATGTCGAGTGTCACAAACGCCCTTGACAAAAAAGGATATCTTTCTTCCCATTATAAGACAGGTTACGCGATTTTATGACAAGTAACTAGATTATGGAAAACAAACACGTTTTTAAAACAAGAGAATTCGAATAGTATGAAATAAAGGCCATTACACATTTATATGGAATACAGAAAGTTCAGGATTCTAACCGTCATAGAGATTTAGACTAACTGGTGATGTCACACTTGTGTTCACACATATGCAATGAAGACTAAGTGTATGCGTAGCAGCTCAGTCCATATATATATATATATATATATATATATATATATATATAAGCGACGCAATGGTCAGCGGATAAAATCAATAATACCTGACTCACTATTTACCGCAATCTTTATTATCAAGTGGACTCTACGCCATAGCAATCTACCAAACACAAAATAGGACCAAAAACCGAAACTTGGTACACACACTGTACGTTGCAAACTACAATTTCAATACCATTGAACACCATAACTTAAGACGATGAAGATTTCCATCGCGCAATACCAAAGTCGTTTTACCGTCCGAACCCATGGAAGTAAAAGACTGATGATTTTAAAAGGTTCTTTTATACATTTAAAGAAAAATGTTTCAGAAATAAGTGCATGTCACCGAATTTCAATGGGCAGAAGACTGAATACTTAATATCCATAGCCCCTGTATGTTTCAAGATATTAAATGTCGCCCCTAAATTTGTCAGATAATACAAGGACGCGGAGTCACAGAGATAACACCCCCCAAAACTTGTAAACTAAACTTACTTAAGTTCATCGCTCCACTGTTCTTTTGCTCCTTTATCTTGAAAGCTGGCTGGAGGCTGTTTTAATGCTTCTTGGGACAGCGGTGTGCAAGCAGTTGCATTCGAAGCACGTACATTTGATGCAGGATATGAAGGACCTTTATATATATATAAAACAAGTCAGTTTCGTAGATTGAAGTAACGGGCATCAATAAAGTACCAAGAGCATTCATTATAAAATCTAACAAGGAATTTTCTGCGACACTCCTAAGACTATCAAGTACATGTTAACCCAACAGACTAACAATCAGATTAAAAGTGCAATTACATTTTCACGCAAACACGGAGAGAAACATGTAACATACACAACATCAGGTTTGAGGACAAACGGCCGCTGTGCTTATGAACCGGAAATGAGATAGTTGTTCTTCAGTAACCACTTTTTTAAATGTGGAACAAATTTCAAGAGTTAATCATCACTTTACATTCACTAGCAGATCAAGAACCATGTACAAAAGTGCACTTATCGGAGATCCAAAGAATAAAACAATAGCAGCGATACTACAATGGTGAAAGTTACTAACATTAAATCAAAAAATCCTAGGAATTTGAAAGACAATAAGGATTAAACACTTAAGCGATAATGCAGGCGACTTCTGTGTCACAAAGAGACCCAGGCAATTGATTCTTAAAATGCTACGGTGCAACACGTAGACAATCTACACACGTGATTCAGACCAACAGTCACACACAAACTGGCGTCATTCTTGTGAACTACTCGGCCAGACACTACTTTGTATGTAACAACTGTGGAATCTCTGCATGAATGTTGATGTATTTTGAAACGAAGTGGTGCAAAATTTCACTTAGAATATCTGAGCTTGTATAAAAAAGTGACCTAGTTTACAATTCGTTTGAGTACCATAAGGACACTCATGGACTTATTCTGAGGGACGATTCAGCTGTGCTGTTATATCAGGCTACAATATCGCTTGCCGAGACTTACCAAATTGGAGGAAAAGTAGTTCGAGATCGTCAGTATTTCTGGAGTTGAGTTTGAAGTTTCGATCTTTAGACTAACTTGAGTGATACCATTTAAAATGATTCCTAAACAAATAGCCATCATGAATATCTTTCCGGATTTAGGTGATATGCTACGGATTTTGTTGTTTTTGCCTCTGCCTTTCCTGTTGTGGTTGTTTGCCGTTGTTGCTCTGCTAATTAATTTTTATTTTCCTGATTCTAAAGGTAACTCGAAAAATCACTCTTTTGTAACTCGAATATACATGGAACAACTTCCTCCTGAGTCGTGAGGCTAGAGAAATCACTACGCAAACGAAACTACTACAAAAACTTCAGTACGATAAGTCTTCTTGGGAAGAAAGAACAAGATGTGTGGGATATGGAACGTCTCCAGTATGTATGAAACTGGCAGTGTTGCCGCCATTGCAAATGAGGTGAAAAAATTTTCAAGTACAGGGAATATGTGAAAGCAGATATGATGGGAGTGGACTCAGCCAATTGCAAAGAAAGAAGAGTATTACAGGCAGCAATGGACAATACCCCATTCGGTGACATAACAATCCCAATAGTCAATTTCAGCACCAAACTGGGACTAGAGAAGAGATGAATGAAAATGGAGAACTCTTCGCTAACTTTTGTGCCTTCCATGAACTAGTGATTGACGGCAGCGTATACAAACAAAAGGATATCCACAAGGCTACATGCGTGTCACCAGACAGGCGAAACAAAAACTTCATCTCATTGGTGCTCAAGGAAGTGGGGGCGCAGCTTACTGGACACAAAAGTAAGAAGAGGAGCAGACGTTGACTCAGACCACTATCTCATACAAGGGACAATCCAAATCAAATTGAAAGCTCTCAAAGAAACAGGGAGCTGTAGTTAGACCACAAGCTAAGTTCAATGCTCAAAAGCTGAAGGATCAGGTTACAAAGGATATCTTCACTGCGATCATATGGAAAAAGACGGAGACACAAATCAACACCAGCGAAGAGACCAGCGTCGAAAAGCGCTGGGACAACCTAAAGAGCAGTGTGGAGTCAAACCTGCATGGAATTTCTGGGCAGAAAGAAGAGACAGGACAAACAGTGGCTCACTACAGACACATGGAGACTGATAGAAGAAAGAAGGGTGTCGAAACAAAAGATTACCCGGTGCATTGACGGGCAAAAACAACAAGAGTTGAATGCAAGCCACAACACACTGAACAAAAGGGTAAAGAAAAGTGCCATGGAGGACAAGAGACAATATTACGAAGCTATGTTAAGCGAAGCAGAACAAGCTGCAGGCAAAGGAGACCTCGCTACACTCTACCAAACAACGAGGTTCCCGTCGGGGAAAAGTTCAACACAAATTAAGCCAGTGAAGGATGACAATGGAAAGTCAATCACCAAAGAGGTGGAGCAAAGAAAGCACTGGGCTGAACACTTCAAAGACTTCTAAATCCACCGCTACCTACAAAGCGCCCAATAATACCAACAACGGAAGCAGAACTACCAATGACACATCAACCACTCGATGAGAACAGAAGTCCTGCAGGTAATCAAGATGCTAAAAACTGGAAAAGTAGCAGGACGACAATGCTACATGCCAAGTAATCCGCAACGGGAAACTTGCCGAATCCTTCGAAGTGAAGACGGGAATGAGGCAACGCTGTCTACTATCGCCAAGGATTTTCCTGATTGCAGTAGATTGGATAGTGCGCCAGACAGTGGGCAGTGAGGGAACAGGCATAAAATGGACCCTCACGAAAAACCTGGAGGATCTGGACTTCGCCGATGATATGTCTGATTTCCCACAAACTTGAAGATATGCAAATGAAAAGCAACAAGTTGGCGGAAGAAGCATCAAAGATAGGACTCCAAGTAAACAAAGAGGGAACAGGAGTGATGAAGATTCTTAGGCAACACAAACAGCAACAACAACAACAGACAACAATCAGGAACCTGAAAGAAACAACCTCCTTTACCTACCTACCTAGGAAGTATGGTTTCAACTACAAGTGGAACTGACGATGATATCAAAAGTCAGGATCGGGAAAGCAGGGCAAGCTTTCACTACTCTCAAGTCTGTGTGGAGGTCAACAGCACTCAACATCAAAAATAAGATCCGGATCTTCAACTCCAATGTGAAGTCAGTGCTACTATGCGGAGCAGAGACTTGGCGCGTAACAAAGAGCACTTCAAACAAACTACAGACCCTCATCAACACCTGTCTTCGCTCAATACTCAAGATCAGATGGCCGGCCAGAAAAGATCAGCAACAGGGACCCCTGGGAGCGAACCCACCAGGAACCCATATGCAACAAGTAAGCAGGAAGAAATGGGGGTGGATTGGCCATGCTCTGAGAAAACCATCGAGTGACATCACACGCGAGGTCGTAGACCAAGTGGATCCAGAACGGGAAGTAGTGAGATGGTCGTCCGTGGGTGACATGGAGGAGGTCATGCGAAGAGATGAAAACATTTCGACAGACTAGAACCCAGGTGAAAATGTTGGCAGAGAACCGAACGCAATGGAGACATGCGACTGAAGCCCTATGTTCCTCTACGAATTAAAGGAAATAATAATATACTAATATGGGATTTGAATGGAACTTGACTCTAATCGTTAGATTTTTTCAAGAACCAATATCAGTTAGAAAGATCGTAGGAAACCGCGGAGCACTGAACAGCCAGTTCACCCTGTTTGGGCTTTAGAGCATTACCTGTCTACTTATCCCACCAGCGATTGAACCCGAGGCCTTCAGGTTACGAGACCAAGCTGACTGACCATTCAGCCACTTGAGCCAGAATCCAATGACCCGTGAATATTTTGTCAATTCGTGGTTTAGCGTTACCCTCAACTAATTTTCTTTTTCGCCATTGGTAAGCACTTTTGGAGTCTGAGCACTAAGTCCTCCCTCATTTTGTTCCACACTATAAGTGACCTTACTTAAAAGAAAAGGTACCCTTGGTTCATCAGTAATGAAGTGGGATAGAGCAGAGGCTTTGAGGTTAGGTATCCCATGATCTGATGGAAAATGAGAGCTGAATGAGTTTCAGCAGACACATTTAGTAGTGTTTTATGCATCTGTAGAAGTTAGAAAATCTAGTATGTTAAGTGGACAATAAGTGCGATTAACAGTTATCTCCTATGGCTGAGCCAACCACCCAATAAACTGGTAGTTTCAGAAAAATTGGCAATACAAAGAAGGCTGCTAAGAACAGAATCACTTTTGAGTACGTTATCAACCAAGATAAAAAAAAATACTGAACAAATAAGCCGACCCGATTGATGTCATCACTAAGCCAACAGTCACTTTAACTTCATTTCTAAAAAAACTACGTGATGAATCTTATTCTCAGCAAATGTACACAACGCAGAGCAGTCTGAACACTAACATTGTGTATCTTACCTTGATTGTCCCGGAATGGAAACAGTGGACCGTTCACTGTCATACAAGTGGAGTGTGTAGGTGTCCCAAAGTTGGGCCGCACGCCACTCGATTGAACCGCATGTCCGTTAGATTGGGGGTTTAAGAGAAGTCCCAATGCATCCCAGCCACTTCCTGTTTGATTTTGAAACATAAATACTGGCGGACCATAAGGATACTGTTCTTCTGGGACCGCAGGTTTCTGTGCTGTCATTTCATATGGTGGATAGTGATAGGTGCTACCATGGCCCTGCGACTGGAAGGGAGCAGGTGTAGACCAAGATGCGTTATACGGTGTCACACAAGTTGGGACTGCAGCTGTATCACCTTCTTGACTGCAGGATTCTACTCCGGGTGGTGGAGGCGTCGAGGATTCATCCACACCTAATGGGACTGGGACGGTTTGATGATTGTAGTCATAAGTCTGTTATAAGAGAAGTAACCCAAAGCTGGAACTAACCTTAGTAGGCTGCGTATAATCATAATATGGTGGGTAAGCACCTTGCCAATAGGATCCGTATGAGTCCCAATGAGCCATTGAAATCCAAGTTATCAATTTTGGTTAGACAGAAGCAATGTCACCTTCAAATGAGATAGAAATCACAAATGATTAATTTCTTAGTCAAGTTAGGAAGAAATGGATGGATTTATCAGGTACCAACTCCTACAGTAACAAATAAATGCATGGTGTGACCGCGTAAGATAACATCTCTCAACTGATCGACCAAAGCGCGTGGCCAGCCTTGCTAAGAAGTAATACAGAAACCTCACTGCTCCATTTGTAACAATAACTTACGTCATACTGCTGAGTTGAATATACGGATCAAGTGATGCTTAAAAATTAAGGGCAACTTGGTGAAAATGTTCTAAGTGGTGCTGCAGGTACCGAGCTCAGTGATATTGTCTCAACACAGATCCATTAGACACTCTGAAAAAATACAGAAAGCATTAATAATTTCTCAAGACTTCAGCCATCCACTGCTGGAATTATAAAATCGAGTCAACCGTGTACAACCCGCTTTGTCATACTATACTAAACAGAGTTTCGTACTGCTGGTCACCTAATGCCTTATGATATGCAGAGAAGCCTTTATTCACTCACGTGCGGGCAGTGTTAACTGTATGTCAGAAGAATACAAAAGTACCAAACCTGCTCTGTAGCAATATCTCTGCTACGCACACTGAATTTGCTGCTAAGAGAGACCGTTGAAGGTAACGAAGGGCTCCAAAGGCTAAATTACACTAGAATTAGTTTGGTACTGTGTGATGTGACCACTTTCGGAGTTCCCAAAAGTGAATTGCCGGTCTTCGAAATGTGACGGCCTAGTTTTATCTTTAAGAAATACGAGGGCAAAGCCATGATAAGGACATGTCTTAAGATCAGATATCATCATAAGAACCAGATAATTTACCAGTCCCTGCATTATAAGATCTAAAGAGAGGAAGTATTAGGTTAGTAAACTGATCTCGAGCCTCCATACTGCATATTAGTTGGGAAGCTCAAGACTCATGTAGAAAAAAAGACACCTACAGCAGTTGCTTCAACACTCTCCTCACAATATTAAAGGTTATCGCTATAGGGTACTCATGCAACAGATGAATTACCCATGAATAAGACTTTAGCGGTAACCGAGTAGCACTAGTTCGGTCAATGAGCACTTCCAAAACGAACTTTCATCAAGCCGAATCCTAAAGAAATCAACACCGTCTATCTAACATCCACTACGACATATCCTTGAAGACCCAGCTTTCTAAACAGCGGGATATATTACTGTAAGACTTGAGCACTGTGGTCCAATATCCAATATCGTTTTTACGAGCTAGTACAAAGCAATTTGATTTCTTTGTGCTCGCTTCTTGATTGTAAGGTATAGGTTCCTGATCTTCGGTAAACTTCTGCGTAGCTTGTCCCACCACTCGACTGTCGTAGCTTTGGTTGACTGCAAAGGGAGTAGTGCTGGGATTAATTATATGTGGTTTGTAGTATGAGATGTGTTAAGACTGTTACTACTGTGATTGGAGTTGGTCCTTTCGCCAGTTAGTCCTTCGGTATCGTCGACAAGAGAAAAGAGATAGTAAGAATAATGATAGTAATAATAATAATAATAGATATAATTAGTGAAGCTATTCAGACTAAGAGACAGAAACGAAAATAGGAAACGTAACAACAGTCAGCCCATTAAGTTTGAAGAATAATATATATATCGGTAATAATAATAATAGTAATTATAAGTTGTCAGGAGTAAGACGGGAGAGAATGTAAAGAAGTAAAACGACGAGTTTGGTATATGCGACTTTAAGGAGATAGGCCATTTGGATGCAGTCCTTGTATCGCTGCATGGTTGTCCAGCCTTCGCTTAAAGGCGTCCAAAGACGGTGCCATAGCTACATCTGCCGACAAGGAATTCCAGGTCGTGATTCGATATTAGTTTGCTTATTTGATATATCACACAGTGAAACACTACTGTTTACTGTAAGTAATACTATTTCAGTGTGCAATATATCTAATAAACAAACTAGTATGGGACGGACGTACGTTCCATATTACTTAGGTACCTTCTACTCTGGCAGAATAGAAGTGAAATACAGTAGAACTTGCAATATGCATGTGATGATCACCAAAATAGCTGGATTTAGATTAAATACGGAAGTGCTAAGCAATCCATTGAGAACACGACCTTAAATACTCGCGTAAACCTTGCACAGAGAAGGTAGAAATGCAACTCACTACCAAGCGAAACTGAAACGATCTAGTCACCTCTACTGTACCGCAAAGAGTTTAAACACATAATTGAACAATGTATTCCAAGGTAGAAAATGTCACTTTGCTCTTGAGGTGGGCTCAGCCCCAGAAACATTTCGAATGACTAGATCCGATGATGTTTTCCTGCGCTCCGAAATTTGTACCTGCTAAGATATGCCATGTATAACTTCCTTTCAAATATATTCTAGAATCCACAAACATGACGAAGTTAAACGTTGAGTAATGCTTCGCTATTCTCGCTATACGTTGATGTACCTCAAGAAAAAAGAATGGATATCTGCCGTCTGCATTCGCACAAGAGCAGGTAAAATGCACCTGAAAGCATACGAACTTAACAGCATCACCATTACTCAATGCTTTAAAAATTCTGCAACTCACAGGTTTCCTAATCTCCTCATGCAAGTGGATACCAAAGACTTAGGTTGGGAATTAAATGAATCCTCTAAGTATCTCAGCATTTTGGTGGTAAAATACTCAGCAACCACGCTCGTGATCCGGGTTCAATTCCAGGCCCATGTCCTACTAAACCTATCCCGGTTTTTTTTAACATAACAATTTCGCCTTTATTCCAGAAACAGTACTTGTGGTACATTGTGGAATTTTCAGCACATATCTACAATATTGCATCTAATTTCATCGTGCATTTAAAAGGAGTATTACAAAAAAATAAATATAAAAAACCAAAAAAGAAACACAGAAATAACAAGAAAATGCAAATAAAAATACCAACTAGAAAGGAAGATAAACACCGATAATGAAAAAAATATTTCAGTATTGGTTAGTGGAAGCTATGATATGTGTATAGGTGGTGAACAATAACAGCTATAGTCATACAAGAAATTATGAGAAGTTCTTAAGAATGTTTATAGCCAAGATGAGCAGTTAATTTGATTGAACTACACTAAACAATCAAAATAAACATTCCAGGGTTTTTTTATTGTCAGCACTTATGCAGTATTTGTTGTGGTAGTGTGAGTAAAACCTTCATAATACGAAATTTTTAAGATGGTGATAGTGGCGTTCACAAACAAGATTGTCAGCTAAATAGTGCTGAACAAAGAACTACAAAACTAATATTACATGATGGCTAATCACAGGACAATTCTGTAATACTCATAGTGATAATATAGTCGGACCCAGTAGATATTGTAGCGGTAAATAATTCCCCGAAATTATTGACCACAGAAATCACTCATTGGATGCTGACCACCACTGTTTAAGTCGACTTGTTTAGCTGAAGGCTTCCGGTCAAGCATCCCCACCATTTGGTACCCCGTCGTGTCACGTGCACGATCACTAGCCAGCTAAGCGTTCGTCTGACGGCTTGTTTTGGTCCCTAAATATATCACGTAGTTTGGACGATCAAATATTGGCTTTTGCTTCGTCTTTGGTACGCAAGAATAAATTAATTAGAAGTTGCTGAACGAGATATCCGCCAACCTTTAAAATATAAAAAAGAAGGAATAGAGTAAAGTACAAAAAAAGTAAGCCAATGATAATAATATTAAGTAGCTAAGTATGTTTGAGAAGGTTGTTCACTATAGAGTACAAATAAGAGAGTATAAGGGGGAAATAACAAGGGCCAAAATTATGTTATTAACAACAAAGCAAGTCATAGGTTTCACGCTTAACATTGTCTCTGTCACTTAGAACACGGGCCAAATATGGTATCGTTGAGTTCCTATACTTGGTTGTACAAGCATATATTATTTTGTACTGATTTCTGGTTCTACCTGATGAGATGCAAGGAAAGGGTTGGGAATAGAGGGGGTGTTGGGGGTCAGAGAGTAAGGTTTCAGTCCATCTCTCGCATGTATTCAGATGCTTATCCACTAATGTAGTGATGAGCTGACTGAGTTTTACACCGCTAGTCCCACGAACTATCTTCAACACCCTTCTCAGGATGGTATAGTCCTTTTTCAGTAACCCAGGAAAGACTAACGGGGAGCAGTAAAGTAGAATAGGTAGGATACGAGAGTTGACAAATTGTGAAAGCAGACGTTGAGGGACTCCAGTTAGTCTGAGTTTCTTAATGTAGTAGGTTAGACGAAACACTTTCTTGGAAATCATTTGGATATGAGATGACCAAGTAAGGTCGGAAGATAGAAATAATCCGAGGTAGTGTAAAGAAGTGAGCTTGAAACCCTACAACCAAAATAAATCCCTACAAAAACCAAAACTTGTTAACTCGAAGTCATTTCTGGTCTGACATTTAGGCAATAGAGAATGACTGAATCAATTTTAATCTCTCTGCAAAAACAGACGAGACATGCATTAATTTTCAACACTTCCAATATACTAGACACACACAAGCAACTCAGCTCTGCATATAAAACGATGTTACAGAACATACGAAGTTCTGGTTATCATTACTTTAGTATTTACAGGGCTTCAGTCGCATGTCTCCATTGCGTTCGGTTCTCTGCCAACATTTTCACCTGGGTTCTAGTCTGTCGAAATGTTTTCATCTCTTCGCATGATCTCCTCCATGTCACCCACGGACGACCATCTCACTACTTCCCGTTCTGGATCCACTTGGTCTACGACCTCGCGTGTGATGTCACTCGATGGTTTTCTCAGAGCATGGCCAATCCACCCCCATTTCTTCCTGCTTACTTGTTGCATATGGGTTCCTGGTGGGTTCGCTCCCAGGGGTCCCTGTTGCTGATCTTTTCTGGCCGGCCATCTGATCTTGAGTATTGAGCGAAGACAGGTGTTGATGAGAGTCTGTAGTTTGTTTGAAGTGCTCTTTGTTACGCGCCAAGTCTCTGCTCCGCATAGTAGCACTGACTTCACATTGGAGTTGAAGATCCGGATCTTATTTTTGATGTTGAGTGCTGTTGACCTCCACACAGACTTGAGAGTAGTGAAAGCTTGCCCTGCTTTCCCGATCCTGACTTTTGATATCATCGTCAGTTCCACTTGTAGTTGAAACCATACTTCCTAGGTAGGTAGGTAAAGGAGGTTGTTTCTTTCAGGTTCCTGATTGTTGTCTGTTGTTGTTGTTGTTGTTGCTGTTTGTGTTGCCTAAGAATCTTCATCACTCCTGTTCCCTCTTTGTTTACTTGGAGTCCTATCTTTGATGCTTCTTCCGCCAACTTGTTGCTTTTCATTTGCATATCTTCAAGTTTGTGGGAAATCAGACATATCATCGGCGAAGTCCAGATCCTCCAGGTTTTTCGTGAGGGTCCATTTTATGCCTGTTCCCTCACTGCCCACTGTCTGGCGCACTATCCAATCTACTGCAATCAGGAAAATCCTTGGCGATAGTAGACAGCGTTGCCTCATTCCCGTCTTCACTTCGAAGGATTCGGCAAGTTTCCCGTTGCGGATTACTTGGCATGTAGCATTGTCGTCCTGCTACTTTTCCAGTTTTTAGCATCTTGATTACCTGCAGGACTTCTGTTCTCATCGAGTGGTTGATGTGTCATTGGTAGTTCTGCTTCCGTTGTTGGTATTATTGGGCGCTTTGTAGGTAGCGGTGGATTTAGAAGTCTTTGAAGTGTTCAGCCCAGTGCTTTCTTTGCTCCACCTCTTTGGTGATTGACTTTCCATTGTCATCCTTCACTGGCTTAATTTGTGTTGAACTTTTCCCCGACGGGAACCTCGTTGTTTGGTAGAGTGTAGCGAGGTCTCCTTTGCCTGCAGCTTGTTCTGCTTCGCTTAACATAGCTTCGTAATATTGTCTCTTGTCCTCCATGGCACTTTTCTTTACCCTTTTGTTCAGTGTGTTGTGGCTTGCATTCAACTCTTGTTGTTTTTGCCCGTCAATGCACCGGGTAATCTTTTGTTTCGACACCCTTCTTTCTTCTATCAGTCTCCATGTGTCTGTAGTGAGCCACTGTTTGTCCTGTCTCTTCTTTCTGCCCAGAAATTCCATGCAGGTTTGACTCCACACTGCTCTTTAGGTTGTCCCAGCGCTTTTCGACGCTGGTCTCTTCGCTGGTGTTGATTTGTGTCTCCGTCTTTTTCCATATGATCGCAGTGAAGATATCCTTTGTAACCTGATCCTTCAGCTTTTGAGCATTCAACTTAGCTTGTGGTCTAACTACA